TGGCTTCGTCATTGTTCGCGAGACGGAGGAGGAGGCCGTTCGGGTGTTGCAAGAGATCCAGGGCAAGGCTGACAAGGAGGCCGTCAATGCCTTCCGCGACGCTGTTCAGCAGGCTGGAGCGAGCACTTCGAACAAGACGGGAATGTGGGCCAACAGCAAGTTTGATGACTTGGTGCAGTACAATGACGGCTTCAAGACTAAGCTTATCGGAACGAAGGAACAAGTTGCAGAGCGTCTGGTGCTGTTGAAGAGTCTGGGAATCAACTTGGTGCTCACTGCGTTCCTCCATTACGACGAAGAGATTGAACAGTTCGGGAGAGACGTTGTCCCATTGGTAAGACAGTATGAGAAGGAAGGTCGGGGAAAGGATGCGAACTTTGAGATCGAGAGAACTGGGGACGTGTACAAGAAAAGGTAAAATGATGACAAGTTTATACTGAACGAATCTGATAGTTAGGTTTCTAATTCTCATTCCCCAAAATTTATCATTCTACGTGAGGGAGGTGTGCATTATGATGACCTTATAGATGAGAAACTTGCTGCTCCAACAAATGTGCTTGAATATGTCCGAGCCAATAAGTAATTAATTGAAAAACACCCTAAACATTCAGCTCATTTCTGATGGCATTGTAGCCTTCCAACAGAGTTTGTGCTCTTTCAGAGCTTCTGACCTTGAACTGCATTGGAAATGGCAATGGTTCTAAGATCACGTTCGAGTTCGTAGCCTCCGTGTCAAAGGTCACGTCTTTACCGGTCACAGGGCATTTCTTCAGACCCATGTCGAAAGCCCAGCAGACAGCAGCTCCCGCGACGAACATCTCATCGTCCACGAGGTTCTGGCCGAGGCAAGTTCTCCGTCCCCAGCCAAATGTGTGCATGCCTACGCCATCCCTGAAATTGGGATAACGACTCAGGGGTTCTTGATACGTCGGGAAGCCCGGTTCTAGGTATCGATCGGGTCGGTAGTGGTCAGGGTCAGGGTACTTTTCGCAGACACGGTTGATATTCCTGAAGAAACGTTCATTAATACATCTCCCCAAAACGGATAGACATTGACTTACCATTCACAAGCAAGAATGATGGTGCCCTTCTCAATTTTGACACCGTTGAATTCTGAATCTTGTTCGCATTGATGTGGAACACCTTCAAATTGGTTAGCAGCTGCTTTGCATGGACACAACCTTAGGAAATCAAATTGCATTACCAAGAGGAACACCGGATCTCCAGCGAAGTGTCTCCTTCAAGCAAGCCCTCACCGTCGGAAGCTCTGCGAAATCGTCCCTGGTCGGCATCCGATCACCGCAAACCCTGTCGATCTCATCTTGGCACTTCTTCAGCCATTCAGGGTGAAGCGCCATGCACATCAAGAAGAACTGCATAGGTCCAGAGATCGTCACTACCCCTACAAGGCATTGGAAGCCAAGCATGCAGGCCGCAAAGTCTTCGTCCTTTTCACTTTGCATTAGGGTCTCATTGCCTGCCTTCTGCAACTGCTCGAAGTATCGGTATGTCCAGGTATCGCTTGGCAGCTCGCTTCTGCGGTATCGTGCCTTGGCAAGGCGGAACGATCGCAGCCACCATGCGCGCTGGTTCTTCTCCCGCGCCACCTCGTGGTTGCGCCAGGGGTTGTACCGTATGAGGTCGCCAAGGTGCCACAGCGGGGTCATGGTGTTGACGACAGGGCCAGACACTGACATTTGTGTCAGGGTTGCGATGGCGCTGTCAGTCTGTCACCGTACGCCTTGCCGAGGGAGGCGTCATCCCAAGCAAGGCGGCTGATGATCCGCCCCGTTAGCTCGCGGGTGTTACCGTGGAACTTCTCAGGGTCCAGTAGCAGTGTGACAAGCCAGCGCTTGACTTCATTTTCGATGTGGCCGTAAAAGTGCTGCTGGTGTGCTGCAGCCATTGCGGCATGGACCCATTTGCGTTGGAATTTCCAAGTGTCTGGTCAGGTGAAGCTCAGTTAGCTTCTAACCTTACCCATTGATAGTGTCGCGACTGATGAAAGCCCACCACTTACCATGCCGATCCATTAATGCGGAGTAGGCAGGTCCCAGTTTGTGGTCAATCAGAGCCCGGATCTGTGGTCTGCCGGCGAAATTGTTACCATTCTTGACGAGAAGCTCTTGAGCCATCGCTTCGTCGGAGATGATAACAAACTTCTGGCCAAGCATGCTGGTCTGGTAGATTGGACCGAACTCATCAGCCCATTCTTTCAGCTTCAGCCACATGGCAAATCTGGGTAAGTCATGAATACGACCGACGATGGGATACTGTTTGGGACCAGGGAACCTGGCAGACTTCTTGGGGCCTTTGGCATCGTGTGTCGACGCTTTGCTAGACCATCCAGATAATCGGCGAAGAGAGGAAAAGAGGAAGCCTGGCACCACGAGGATGCCCAGGTAGAATATGACCAGAGCAAAATTGTCCATCTCTCTGAAGAGAAGTCTTGTGTATGCAGTCTGGGTTGCTAGCGACGATATGAAGAAGCTAGAAGCGACTTTGCGAGACAGAGAGAGCGCGGTCTTGAACCTAGATATACAAGCTGGAGGATCGTCATCCGCAGGGCGAGACCGTTTCCAAGAAGCTGGGTGGGCTATGGAGCCTCCACACGCGCGCGTTTACACAATGTCACCTACCCTGTCTCTCGTCCGATGCATAGCTGCCTGCTGAACCTCTGTGCCGCATCTGGTTTCGTAAGTTGCATCCACTGAACATTGTATACACGACCGGTGGTGTGGTATGGAGTCGCTGATCTTGACTGTACCGGGCATATCTGTTCTGGACCCGTTTTCAGATCCACATGTCCAGCAATACCACCCCCCATTGTTCATGAGCTAGGAATGCCGGGAAACCGCTCGGCCCAATGGTGCATCCTCTGGATGGCTAGATTCTGCGAAGGGGATGATGCCTTGGCCCGAGCTGATGCGAGCATCATAAACGAAAAGCCTTGCAACACACCCCACCAGCTGAGCCGACACGATGGTGCATGTCTCAAAAGCACAGCGGAAGACATTTGGTGACTGATCCGAAGGATGGTGCGCAGGGATGGGAATCCAATATGACATGCGTCTGAGCCAATACAGTAATACTGTCGATTTTAGGATGACGATCTGTGATCATTTTTTCACATCAGGGAACATGTTGTATGAGTCCGCGAGGGCAGAGAAAACATTTTTTCTTATCTTCCGGCATGTTAGTCTCGCTGCCCTAGAGGAAGAAGCTTGTAAGCTTTTGGCAAATTGATTGTAACCAAGATTTGCTATTTGATGGTGAAAAAGCGATTATTCCGCTCACGAGACCAGGCATGAGGAAAAAGGTGCCTGCTCATTCAGGGACTGGTGATGTACGACCTTGCAGATGCCTGCTTCAGACTAGACCTGAATTCATTCAGCGAGAGAGACACCTTCCTGCAGGGAGGCTACGGAACCTGGACATAGACTGGGCCTCCAATCGTCGAATCCGAGGATGGATGGCGAGCTTACATGCATCCCTTTCGCCGCAAGTGGGTCATTCCAACGGTGCTCGTACGAGCTGGTGACTTCATGGTACCTCTACGCCTCTTTGAAATACGGCTCGTCATATTTGAGATTAGATGCTGATTTTGGGGCTAGTTGGTAAGTTAAGCTAGGCAAATGTGTTTCCCTGAGATGGGATGGCAGGTGCAGGCAAAACGAATCGGAGGGCTACTCGCCGAGTATGACATCGGGCGCGATGCCACGGACCGTACTTAGCTGTCACATTCATCTGAAAGCCCAGGGATATATGCGGGGAACGAAAGACCAGTTGAAAAACGTAAGGGCATCCTTTCGGTCTGTGACCCCAACTCCGGACAGATCAGTGGGAAGTCCGGACGGGTGGGGCCGACGCCGGATTTGCATAAGCGTCTTACGGTATAAGTTTCCGTACTGGTTCAACAGATGGTGGCGTTAAACCGGTCAAGCCACCCTCCCATACAACCAACGTCTTTTTCGATGTCGTTGTTCTGAAACTGTAATCGGTCAATGGTGTGGGAGAGAGATGGGATGGCACTCGTTTCCTGATCTCCACTATCCAATGCAGCCACAGTTCGAATGAGGCTCCCCAGTGGCTAGCAAGGGGCAAGCCGGTTGTCAGTGCCGGCCCCCACGGTTGATCATTTCGGGTCCGAGAGATACCTCATTGAAGACAGGAGCTGATTGAGTACATAACACGTTGTCTGCATTTGATCAAGAGAGATGGTGTGATGCTGCAAAACTCGACAACAATCACCAATCGTTCATTCGTCTTTCACTCAAAGAGCCTAAGAACCAATCACGATGATTTGAAATCAGGTAACAGGCATCGTATCGAACGAGGCGCCTCGCAGCTTACTGAAACGACTTTTTGTCTCCGACCTTGATGATTGGATGTCCATGCCTTCTGATATATCTCTCCAGCCCCGATGAGCAGGTTTCGGGGACATATCCTGCAATCGACTGCCCCAAGTTGTCTTGAGTTCGAATGATCGAGACACCATCCGGTACGCTTCGGTCCCGAACGGCGTAATAGTAAGACATGCAGCCAGCAGTCAAGACATTGAGAATCAGCACCCAACACCTAAGGTAAGCGTTGAAGGGCTTCGGCCTCGCTTTTCGCCTTTCAGTCTCATAGTTTTGCCGAGCCCACCATTCTTACAAACGGTGTTGGTGGCGACTGTCTCATAGATAAGCCTTAAGGATGCTTGTTAGTTGTAAGGGCTTGCCGTATTATGCTAGCCAGCCACTTACAATTCTCAGATGCGTCACACTAGGCAGCCAGTAAGCCGAGATAAAATCCACCGAAAAAAGTGGTTTTGTAATTTGTTCTTTCCCTGCATCCACGATTATGACCTTCACTTCCAGTCCAAAACAAGAACAGGAATTGCCACGTGAACTATGAGACTAGACGGATGTTTCTAATCATTGAGCCAGTGATGTTAAGCAACCCTTCGAGGTCGCAATATCAAGCTTGTCTACTGTATTAGATCTTCTCCACGTCCATCAGTAGATATATCGGAACCCCCTCTTCTCGTAATCGGTGAGATCCCCGAGCTGATCGACGACAGTGACGTCTACTTCGGTACCCTCCTTTCTGTCCCTGATTCTGTTTTCAATTATGCATCCAATTGCATATGCTACCATGCACGCGATAGCCACCACCTCAAACGCCATGATGGCGCTGTATCCGGTCGTGTAATTGGGAGCTTCTCTCTCGATAAAGACTTGAGGCCCTACAATGTTGGCAATGCAGTAAGCCAAGAACACGGTGGCATTGATGGTGAGCTTCTTGGTGTGGCCTGACACGTTCGCCATTGGGAGAGATAGTGCTGCATATTCTGTCAGAAAGCGTTGCCCGACTGTGGAATGCATTACTTACCTGTAGCGTATGGACCCCAGAAAAAGTAGAAGAAGTAGTATGCCATCAAACGGCCTACCTTGTTGTCATGTGGTAGCTCTGTCGGCTGTCAGTGACGGCATTCAGGCAACGGAGCGGGTACGGTACCTTTGATGACAATCGAGCAGACCAGGGGAACGAGACAACAAAGTCCTGCCGAAAGGCATCTCTTGTTTGTCAGCCATCTTTGCGGTATGGCTACCATGAAGCCAGCCAAGCTTTGCATCACCCCCGTCGGCATGCCGAGTAGGGTAGTTTCCAACTTTCCGTACCCGAGTCCCGAGACAATCTGGGCTGCGAAGGTCACCAGGCCACCTGTCGGTACGTTCATACTCAAGAAGAATATGAAGAGTATGTAGGTCTTGTAATCGGTAAAGGCTTCTCGAACTTGGTACCACTTTAACTTCTGTGAGGCACAGTCAGTCCCAATGTTCAAAGGTACTGAGGAATTAACTTGCCCTATTCTCAATACCAGTCATATTGTCCTTGACTCGGTCTAGTGCGATATATTTGTCTTTGCCGGTCAGGAAATTGTCGGCAAGTGGCGAGTCAGGAAGCCAGACGAGTAGAATGGCTCCCCAAAACACAGTGAAGCCTCCGATGACGAGAAACAGAAGCCGCCACGACGCAATTCCAGTCTTCGCATGACCTATGCCGTATGAGACTATCCCTGTCACGAGCTGTAAGCATGTTAGCCGCACGCTTCTTTGGTGATACTGGATAAACAAACGCTAGAGAACCCTGTGAACGTGATAGCCATGCGGACAGGCTGTTCTGATTTCTTGTACCACATGGTGTTCAGGATCGTAACAGCGGGAAACAGTGGAGATTCAAGAACACCCATCAGGAACCGAAGAACCATGAGGCCAGCTGCGTTCTGAGCGGCTGCGAGACACATGACGCAGCCGCCCCACGCTACAACCGCCGTGCCAACTGTCTTGCCGACCGGAAGCTTTTGAAGGACGGCATTCGCAGGGTATTCGGCGATCAGCCATCCGAAGTAGAAGATTGACCCAACTATTGAAGAATGAGCAAGCCGATTGGATGAAGGACGCAAGAACTTACCCCAGCTGTATTGTTGTCCCACCAGATGCGTGTCCTCGTTCATGCCGTAGAGTGCGGCATTCGAAATGAGGATTTTCTGGACTCCGAAATCAGTAGGTGTTACTCCTAAAAGGCTCGATGAGCAGGCTGAGATTTTAACGAACATCAACCGCGGCGATGATGGTGGTTCCCACGATGAGAGGCATCAAACGCCAGTCTATCTTCCGTAGAACTCGTTTGGCTTCAGAGGCTTCATAGTTGGCCCATTCAACTTCATGTTCTCGAAGAAAGATGGCTGCTTGATCGTCCAAGTTGTTCGCATCTTTGATGTCGTGCACTGAGCCAGCTGTGGGCTCCTCCTGGCACGGCTCGATACCAGATCCCGTCTTCTTGATGAACATGGTGTTTGCAATGCACGATTTGATGCGACCTCAAATCCTGTAGATGTCATACGAAGCCCCCAAGACTTTGATGATGTCTCTCTAAGAGAAGAGATCTCGAACTACGTGGAATTGGAATGAGATATTTGCCTGGAGGGAAGATCTGATGACTAGCTTCAGGTAGCGTGAAGCGTCCCGAGCTACTAGCAGCTCTCATTTCCCATTCCTTATCTTAGGCACATAATGTCGAGATAATCCGTCCTTTGCGGGCGTCACACCGATCAGGAAGAGGTGTTACGACAACGGCGGCGTACATTCGTCTGTCGGAGTTTTGTCCGACGTTGTGTGCGGGGTTTGCGAGCCATTGCGGGAGGCGGACTGCGGCTTGCCCAGCTCTCGCGACTGGCAATGATGCCAACTAAATCACTGTTTCGTCCTTCAGATATAAAATTCCTTGATTAGAGACTTAGTTTCGCCCTCTTATCATACAGTACCAGCACAAACAATACCCCAGTCGATTCAGACTCTCCTTCATTATGGCTATCCTTGACTATGAGTACGACTCCAACGCCTTGGCACCAGAAGTCAAGCGAGGAATCGATTTTCTCTACGAGGCAGCAGACAGAAAGGAGGCGTGCGCTGCTTGGGCGGGGTGCTTCAGCAAGAATGCCAAGCTCATTAAGGGTGACTATGGGCCTACTGGAGTTCCTGGTGAGACTTCCACTTCTTCACGTCATTAATTCAATGCACTGACACCAGCCTTATGTCAGAGCTTCAGAAGTACCTCGAAGAGAGCTGGAACAACACCGACTCTCGAGTGCATGATGTTAAGAAGGTCTCGATCATGAACGAGTCACCACTTACTCTCAAGATTGAGGGGGTCACCACGTATCAGAGATCCGGGGGAAAGGAACAGCAAGGTGAATGGACGGCAGAGCAGAGCTATGTCGATGAGGATGGATGGAAGAAGATCTCCCAGTACAAGATCAACTTCGTAAGTTTAACGCCATGACATGAATATTGCTTGGTGTCTAACGCTCATGTCACTAAGAACATGCTCTATTAAAGACGTCAAATGCATCCGTAACACAGGTGGAAGAATAGCCCGGCTATTTAAAATAGAAGCTCAGTCAGAAATTGAACAAATCAAAGCCAGCGATTGACATATTTGGCAAAAGACCCAATCCTTCATAATTCAGGTCCTGGTGCTGGGGTCGATCAAGCATTTCCTCCATCAAGCTGATTACCGCCTGATGAACATGCTGTACGCGTAGATCAACGATGTAGCTCTGCATCCGAGTCTTCCTCTCCCCCTCTAGGGCATATGGTGAACACAGTGACTGGGATGACGGCGACTCGAGCATGTTCGAATTACATGCTTGGCCACCGAAGGCAGGGCCATCGAACACCGACTCCGCCAGGAGCTGAAAGGACTGCAGAAATACTAGAGCCCGAGGCCACCTGATCGAGAACTTCTCCATAGTTCTGTGGCAGCATTCAAAGCCGGAGATGGTATCAGGAAGACTGAAGTTTGCCGTCCTAAGGAGCGGTGGCGTCATTGCGTAACAGTAAAGTAAAATGATCCCGAGTCTGAATTGGTACATCAACTGTAATGAAGTCAGCAGAGTAAGACAACCCGTGGAAAAGCTTGGACTTACGGCAGTCCAAGTCCGGTATATCACCGAGTCATTCTCCTGAGATGACAGAAAGGTACGACACGCCTCGCTGCAGCATTCCACTAATTGACCAACCTCTTCGTGGCCCATCATGCACGGCCGCTCTTGCACCAGGATAGATAAGCTGTAGTCGTACAGTTTTGACAGTGAACTAGGTTCATGGTATACCAAGTCGTCTTTCGGGCTTGAACTCGTGACCGCCTCGATTTTTTCTTTCCATAATTGAAGTTCATCTTTCAAGCGCAGTCGGCTAGTTTCTCTGAATGGATCTGAGGGATCCAGCTTCTGAAGCTTCTTGTTGAAGTGACGAATCTTTGATTGGATACACCTGAGTTGGAATATGTGCCTGTAGAATCCCGTCTCCGTTTCACCGGCAGGCATTTGGGAGGCAATTCGAAAGATCTGAAGTCTGTTAGGTTTGAGGTATATGCAATGAAAGGGAGATTATAGGTTACCTTTTCATCTAGTATCTCGAACATGAAGGGCTGGGGATATGTCCAAGCTGACGCCACGACCTCGTTCAAAATGTGGGAGCTCATAATAGTCATGTTACGGGTATGCTCAAAGTCCACGCAAAGATTTCCAGCGTAAAGATCGACCTCATGTTTGTCATCCATCAGATTTGCACAATTCATGAGAACCAACATAACACTTCCAGAAACAGGGTCTGGCGATGGTCCATGAAATGCATACAGAAGCATCAACAAGGAAGCTTGAGTTCTGATCAGTGGTGACGAATGTCCGGTAACATTGCCCAGGTTCTTGTTCATAGCTTCGTCATGAAGTCTGGATGCATGTACAAGGTGCGGACAGTCTGCGCGGAAGGAGCTGCTCACTAGAGCACCAATGGCTAACACCATTTGAATGACAAAATGGTGACATGTCGCAGCCTCAGACAAACTGGACGAGTGAGTCGCATACGCGTCTCGCCAAGCTACTTCGTCAATGAACGTCCATTGAGGCTGTACATGCCGGAAGTAGATGTTCGTATAGTGGTCCAGCCAATCTTTTCCAATCATTGACAAGACAGTTTGGGGAGTGGTCATGGAGCTGCCGGCAAGCGAGTTGCATGAGAACCGACGCGGCGGTTCATCATTCGGGATGTTGATCTCTGGACCCTCCATATCGACTTGACGTTGTTCTGATTGTAGAACTAGACGTGCACCTCGCGAGGTGTCAGAGATGTATCCACCACCATCAAATGGAGAAGCAGAATCATTATCTCCCTCGGAGTCCTCCGCAGCTTCTTGGGTGCCAACAACGTGGGCCATCATGTTGGTAGGAGGCGGAGATCTTTGCGCTTCCGCCGCGTGCGCCTCCAGCTGGCGGAGGTATGCCACCGGAATTGTCGCAAATGAGCCGGACTTTCTTGCGCCATACGGGACGCACTCCGATCCGCTTCTTCTGCATTCGCCGCATGTGGGCACGGCGTGGTCGCAACGTTTCTTCCGTGTCCGGCAACGAATACAAGCGATCCTCCGCGGGTTCTTGCTTGCTGGATGCATTCTCGAATGTCGAGTCATAGCGTGTTGTTAGATTGCGAGCATGAGTTGGAAGTCCGACAGTGAGTCTGAGGAAGAGCCGCGTGAGTGATTGGCTCTTCAGATATCGGCGTCTCAGTCCGAAATGCGGAAATGATAAGCTCAATACTCTCTTGAGAGGAGATAGTGCCTATCAAACGACATGCAGGCGTATCAGACACCCTTGTAATGTCGTGCTGGATTCGCCAATCAATGCCCCAGTATTCGCTGGAGCTCGCGGTGGTTGGGAATAGACCGGACGAACTGCCAGGGAACCGGCGGATAATGACCACGTCGAGATAGGGGTTTGCGATGAACGAACTCGTCACGAAACATCAGACCCAGTTCTGGCAACAGTAGCCTGTTAGTAACTCTCAGTAGGATGTCACCGTGAATACGCCCACTCATTTTGGACACATCGCGTGATCGATATCTCCTCCATGCACCTCCCCCGCACTCTGAGCCCCCGCAGTTCCATGGCTGTTGATCCACGTCGCTGACGTCTGTTGGTGCCGCTGGCCTCCGCCAAGATGGCGGGCGTGGCGGGCCAAGCTGAAGGCTGTCGGACTTTTGTCCGACAATGTTGGAAACGGCAATCATTGGCGGCGACATGGGCTGCTATTTCATGACAAGAATACTAGCAGAATAGAGAGCTATGTGCCATAGCAATCCAAAGTCATAGCTAATCTACCGTTAACATTAAGATACCAAACTAGCAATCACGATGACTTCTCCACAGGAGCCAAAATCATACATCAATCTCCAGCTGGGGTAGGACGAACAAGATAGTTGGATTATTCCAGTACTCAACGGCTAACACCATAAACAGCTGGCCTTCACCATCACTATTCCCTAAGAAGCAATTAGCCGACGCTGCCCAAGCAATCCTTCTCAACGATGACATTGCGGCCAAGGCTTTAGTCTACGGCCCTGATCAGGGCCAAGACTCCCTCAGAGAAGCGCTCGCCAAATGGCTCAGTGATTTCTACCAACCTTCTGCTGGCTCAATATCTCCGCAGCGCCTGTTTATCACCAACGGAGCTTCCGCAACGCTCTCCATGCTTCTCACAAGATTTACCGACCCAGAGTTTACTAGGGGCATCTGGATGATCGAGCCAACTTATTTCCTAGCATGTCCATCATTTCAAGAAGCTGGTTTCGAGGGCCGAATGCGGGGAGTCCCTGAGGATGACGAGGGCATTGATCTTGACTACCTTCGTAAGGGACTGTTGGAGATGGAAACCAGACAACCACCCGACCCCGCTTTCGTTAGCACCGTGGCGTCTCCAAAGGTCTACCGACATGTCATCTACGTCGTCCCAACCTTCAGCAATCCCAGCGCAAAGGTCATGTCTCTCCGCCACCGGAAGCAGCTGGTCGAGCTGGCCCGGCATTTCGACGCCCTGATCATCGCGGACGACGTGTACGACTGGCTCTGCTGGCCCGCAGACCAAGGAGCATCCGGTTCATCTGAGCTTCCCCCACCTCCCCCGAGACTCGTCGATGTGGACCGCGCCTTACCAGGCGGCAGCCCCTGGGGCAACGCCGCGAGCAATGGTTCCTTCTCCAAGATCGTCGCGCCAGGGGTGAGAGTCGGGTGGGTCGAGGGGTCTCCTGAGATGGCGAAGGAGTTGTGCAGACTCGGGTCCGTCAGATCGGGAGGTTGCCAGGGACATCTGTCGTCCATGTTCATGGGCCATCTTCTGAGCAGTGGGGCGTTGGATGAGCATATCCGGGGGAAGCTGATTCCGACGTATCAGGAGCGGTACCATGCTATGATAAAAGCTATTTCGGAATATCTGTCTCCTGTGGGTATCACTGTTGCGCCAAGGCAATCTGAGGTTGACAATGATGAACCCGGCATAGTTGGAGGATTCTTTGTCTATCTCAACTTACCTCGTGGCTCCATCTCGGGCAAACAGTTTGCAGAGTTCGCTCTAGAACGCCACAATGTGCGAGTAGCACATGGTGAAATGATGACTGTGGCAGGTGACCCGGGCAGTCTGGAGCGGGCAATGGCCAGCTTTGGAGTTGGATTTAGGTTATGCTGGGCGTGGCATGACGTGATTGAGATCCAGGATGGCATCATGAGGCTAGCCGCAGCATTCAAAGAGATGCAAGGGAATCCATAGAATAAGGTTGCATAGAGTAGGACAAAGGGTTCCCTTCCCCAGACGAATATCATGCACCTATCCCCAGCTTCCGATTAATACTGACATTCAACTATTTTGTGCTTTCGTCCATGGAATGACGGTTGACTAGTTCCTCAGTCAAATCGTATTTTCATTAGTCCCACGATTAGTTGATCAAGCCCTCCAAGCCCGAAACACACACAATGAAGGACCATCTCTGCTCATCTCAGAAGCAAAGCCATGCTCCCGACTACTAATACTTCGACAAACAACCACCGAACCATATCGCTCATAAACACGACGCCCTCACGATCAGACGGCGGCCACAGGTTGTCGGTCCAGCAGCAGGATCTCGGACCGCTATCCGCTGGCTCTTCTGGCACTCGGTGTGGATCTTTCCAGATTTTATTCCGCACTGGATGGATCATTGTGGACTCGGAACTCCGACCCCCCTGTCCTGATGTCGATCGATTGCAACATAAACCTCCCGCTGCCCCCTCTTTCTCTCGCGATGTGGGCGAGCAGCCCATCAAATCAATCTTATCAATCTAATCAATCAATCTCAATCGATCCTTTCAAGCACGGCGGCCCGGTTTCTCGCGTGCCTCATCAGTAACATGGTGTTTGAGACACACGCGCGTGGAGATCCATCACATTGAAAATTTTTCTCGCCCCATAAGATGGACCAAAAGCCTCATCGGCAGTTCGTTATTCGGAAGGTTCCTGCCTATCTAGGCTATCAACACCGAATAGCCCACCAGGAATGGTGTCACAATACTTTCAGTTGTCATGATACAGTACTGTTCGTTGTGTGATAAAGACTCAGTTGTTCTCACTTTGAGGTTTGAGAGAAGGTTGTGTCTTGATGCCAACCATCTTAGCCAGTAACTGTGCAGAAAAGCGAGCATGTGATGCTCATTGCTCTCACGAACTCGTTCCTACATGATAGGTATATTCAGCAGACCAGCATGCGATGGGACGTAACCGTCCAAGGTAGGTATTCTCGCAGATGTAAATAGACATCGGGCCCCATTTGAGGCCGATCTAATGCCCAAGAGACACCCCAGAGCCAAGGAACGGCTTTCACCCTTGGCTTTAAAGCTTGGCATCGGGTAGTGGGGGAGTTGCGAGAATTCGTCGTATCCATACCGCTTCACAAGCTCACACTCCAACATCACTGGTGGCTGATCGACATGCAGGCCGTGGCTTTCAGCTGTCCACATTCAACATCACGAACCGGGCCGCTACGGTGGGTCGCAACTACAACTACCGAGAGCCGCGACTGGGGGCTTGATATTTACAGTTGAACCCGAAGGAGGGTCGCGGACTCCTCCGAGCCCCATTTAACTACGAAACAGACCAGGAGCACCTTTTGGTATTTTGATCTGATAACTTTGCAGCATCACTACCCAATCATTGGAGTTACCCTCTAAACCCAGGAGAGGAAAGTAGTACTGTGGACCGTGGTGTTCGTCCAGTATTGGCTACAGCCCCCCGGTCACCAGTGTCCAACTCTATCTCGGGAATCGAGGTTGCCTCCGACTCCAGAAGGGATCTCCTCAGTCTCATACGTGATTTCGTAAAAGTGCGGCATGGATCGGAAATTGCAGAGTTTGCTGCAGCGCAGAAACACAACTCCACTGATGTGGCTGCTCTCCGGTCTCGGGTCAGCTCCGAGAACCATTCAGAGATTTGCGCTGAAGATAAATAGACTCCATAAAACATGTAGAATCACAGGCTTCACTGCATGAACAAAAATCTTCCCAACGTCGCTTGAAATCATCATTGCTGTGTTACCTTTGCTTCATTGACCCTTCTACTGCTTCTAGCCCGTATACTACACACACTTGATACCCAACCCACAAAAGAATCTAGAAATACACGCCGGCATCATGGGCTTAACAGCAGGGGGTGCCTCAAGGCCGATCACCGACGTCTTCACAAACGATACAGACATCGACCGCCGCAAACTCACCCGCGTAGTGCCTATGAAGGTACTCTGCCTAGGTCTCGGACGCACAGGAACAGCATGTACGCAGCCCGTCCCCTCTAACCCCCCAACAAGCCTTTCTAACCCCAAACACAGCCCTCCGCGCAGCCCTCAAACAGCTGGGCTACGTCGACACCTACCACATGCTCAACGCCAGCGCCGAGAACCCGCCTGACTGCCTCCTCTGGAGCGAAGCCCTCGCCGCCAAGTTCGACGGCGTCGGCTCCTTCGGCAAGGACAAGTGGGACGCGCTCCTCGGACACTGCCAGGCCGTCTGCGACTGGCCGGCCGCCTCCTTCGCGGAGGAGCTCATCGCCGCGTACCCGGACGCGAAGGTGCTGCTCACCACGCGCGACGTCGACCGCTGGCACCAGTCCGCCCTCGGCACCGTCAACTACCGCGCCAACGACCCCTTTCTGTGGGCGCTGTCGTACGTGGACTGGGCGTCGTCGATGTACTACCCGATGCTGCACAAGTACTGGAGCACTATCTTTAAGGGCGACTTTGAGAAGCACGGCAAGCAGGTGTTCCTCGAGCACAACGAGCACATCCGTAGTATTGTGCCAGAGGAGAACCTGCTCGAGTTCAGGATGAGCGACGGGTGGGAGCCGCTGTGCAAGTTTCTGGGGTGTCCCGTCCCGGACACGCCGTTCCCGTATGTGAACGAGGGGGACTCGTTTATCGGGCGCACGAGGAGGAGGAACTTTATGCAGCTGTGCAATGTGCTCTTTAGGTGGATGACGTGGGGTATGGCTGGATGGGGCATGTTTTCTGTTGCGCAGACGTGGAATGTGCACAAGTACTTAATGTAGATGTTCCATGAAACTTTCAGCGTTTGGATTTGGGTTACGTTCTTGAAGATCTACTTTGTGCTATCCAATGGTGATGAACGCTGCTGCAAGGGTAATCGAGTGCATCTTGAACACCAAACTTGAGGTTGATGAGGTTCTTTTTCGAGGCTCTAATTAAGTGGCATACTTGTGAGTGTAACAATTCAATCGCCATACGAAACTGTCGTCGTCCCCGTCGTCCCCGTCGTCCCTGTTGTTGTCGACGCTTACCATCCGCCCGGAAAGCATAACTAATACCCGACCACCGATCTACGCGCTCCTATTGACTCATTATACATATAATAGCATGGAAGGCATTAAATTATTCAATTCAATTAAGGGGTGGTGAGTTGAGTACTAAGGTGGTGATAATGGCGTCCCTTGCTTAAGTTGGTTGAATAGCCTCTCAAGTAACTTGCCCTTGCCGAAGCGTTGATGGTGATAACCTCAAACCAACTTCCGCCGTTCACCACACATACCGGAAGTGAATATTCTCTCTGTCAGTCAAGTCCTGAAAATCTGTATCCAGATGAACCCTCCGCCCGGCATCCTGGTCAAGTTTCTCCCTCCGTCTGTTTTCGTTCCAGCAGTACAACATGTACAGAACCATCGTAAAGATGCTGAGGGCATACGAAACGAGCATAGCACCCATGCCAAGCGGATACAACGGCGCCTGTGACGACTTGAAAAACTGCGGGCCGATGATGTTGCTGATGCAGTACGCAGCAAATACGATCGCGTTCGTCGTAACCTTCTTCGTGTGGCCGGCGGTGTTGGCGCTGTTGATGCCGAGAGCAACTATCAACAGTGGTCAGCTGCAATCCCTCCACGAGAAGGGACGAAGTATACACACCGATGTATGGCCCGAGGTAGAAATACGACCAATACAAAGCCCACAACCTCCCCGTGTAACTATCCAGCGGCAGAGTATACAACAACACCGTCGCAACCATCCCAACCACAAGCCCCCCAATCACAAACGCCCCCCTCAACTGGCGCCCCTTGAACCGCCTCACGCACACATACACCCCAAAGTTGCACACATAGCTGCTCAGCGTCTGCACCACCCCCGTCGGCATCATCAGCAGCGTGCTCCGCTGCGGCGAGTACCCCAGCCCGTTGACGATCAGCGGCGCGAAGTTGGTCAGCCCGCCGTTCGGGATGCTCACCCAGATATTGAAGAAAAACATCAGCCAGGTCTTGGGGTCGCGCAGCGTCTCGCGCAGCTGGCGCGCGGAGAAGGTCTTGTTCTCGATACCGAGCTGGTCGGCGCGCAGGCGCTCGATCGCGACGAAGCGCTCGCGCGGCGTGATGAACTTGGCGCCGACGGGGTTGTCCGGGAGGAAGACGCCGACGAGGACGCCGTAGAGGATGGAGATGGCGCCGGTGATGTAGAAGAAGGAGGGCCAGGCGTGGGTGGGGAGGAAGCCGACGGCCCAGCCGAGGGTGCCGGTTATGATTGTGGCCAGACCTGGACGGCGTCTAGTGTGAGTACGTGAAGATAGAGATGTCTGCAGTTTCTGGGGCGGCACCTACCGGTGTAGAAGAGGCCGGCTCGGATGGGTTGCTCCTCGCGGGTGTACCACATCGTCATGATGATGAAGTTCCCTGGAGCGACGGGAGCCTCAAGGGCGCCTAGAAGAACGCGCGTGATGACCATTGGGATAAAGCTTCGACAAAACCCAGCGCCAATGAGCACGAAGCCCCATATGATCATGACCGCGCACATGGACTTTGCGATCGGGAGTCGCTGGAGGATCTGTGAGGATGGGAAGCACCAAAGCAAGTATCCAAACTAACCCGTCAAAATCAGCCACTATACTCACCAGTTTCTCGAAAGTCCATGGTTAAGAGAAGGAAAGATGCTCACGTAGAACGCCGACCCGACCCACGCATACTGATCCCCCTTCAACCCCAAGTCCTCCCTCATCCCATACAGCGCCCCCGTCGACGGCGTAATTTTGTCCATGGCAGGCAGCGTGATATTAAGCCACAGGAACGGAATAAGTCGAAAGTCGAGCTTCCAGCGAAGCTTGACCTCTTCCCGGCGATCATAGTCGGTTTCGTTGGCGAACTGGTCCGCCAGGTGGGCGGCAATGTCCCTGCCCCCGCCGTTGTGAGAGCGGTGCCGGATCGTCTTGGAGTCTCCCTGGGAGACATCCGTCGCGTCTTGTGTCGTGTCTTTCTCGACCATCTTGCCGTCTGTGGGTAACATCTTGCTGCCAAAGTCTACCGCGGAGTGGACTTGAAAGGTGATCTAGATGTTCCGGACGATATCGACGGTGGTTTAAAACAGCCACCAAGAAGCCGCTTCCCAGCCAATTGGCATCCTGACGCTCTATCTCAGCGGTTGATGGACCTTATCTTCAGATGCAGGGGATGGTATCAAGAGGAACATCCCATCGGGCCATTTTGTCCCCGATGGTCGTCGGACCGCCAGCGGGGGCCTGCGGAGCGGGCAACGACAACTTATCATACCGTTTACCCCGGATTTGAGTGTGTTGGGGATGGCAGGGGTGATACTCATGCAGGCGACTACGTCACTGTCTAGTTGGTTGATAGGGTGTCGGACAAAAGTCCGACATTCGGGTCATCCGCCGCGGCTACGGACCGCGCCCTATCTTTGAACACAACACCGTGTTGATCTTCACTGAACTGACGAAAGCAGAAGCGACAACGACAATAGAACGCGAGCACCAAGCACATCAGCTCCGTAGGGCGATATCAAAGTATAGTCTCATTGTAACTCCTAACTAAGCAACTCAAGGTGAGCAAAGTAATGACACAACCAACCATTATCGATGATTTATCCACGGTTTCAATCCACCTGACAAGTGTGCGCTCAGAGTCCACATGAACACACAAGACCGCAACATAACATGAATGCTCTCAATCCCTCCCATAGGTACAAACGCGATTACCAGCAAAGAACATCCTGTGTGCATTGGCTCTCGACGATAACCTCGGAGTAGATAGGATGGAGAGCCTGGAAGGCAGATGCGATAGCTGAGTTGTAAGCATCGTTGAACTTGGTATTGTTGCACTCGTTGCAGTGGATTCCGAGACTGCGCTCCGGCCACATCATCTCGTAACCCATATATCCCTTGACCTCGCCACTGATGGTGTCGGTGACGGTGAGGTTGAAAGTTGTAGGGAGGACGACGGTGTCATCAGAAGTGTCGTTGGCAAAAGGGGCCGCTCCGTGGTTGTGGAAGAAGAGACCATCGGAGGCAGGAAGAGAGCCAAGGTTCTTAAAGACGTTGAAGAGGACCGGCAGGATGTTGAGAGGAGTGCCATAAGAGCCCTTGCATCGAGTTATGACCGACGAGTTCATGCGATTGGCGAAGGGGTTCGGGCTGCAGATTCCCTCCGTAGTGAAGATGATGCTGCTGAGGAAGTGATTGATGGTACCATACCAGACAGCAGGACGGGGGCTAACGTCGACCTTGACGCCCAAGATGCCGCCGAAGGACACGTTGGCAGGAGGGGCAGGAGGTACGGTGAACACAGTGCCGTTGTCGGGAGTGGTGCCCACAGACCAAGGCGTCGGGCCATCCTCACGGTGGTTGCAGACGAAGGCAGACTGGCAGCTGGTGGAGCCGGTTGCACTGGCTCCGACAGGTCGCCCACGGTAGGTGTAGCACCAAAGAGTGGTGCTACCATCTTTGGTACTCATGGCTTTGCCAGCACGGAGGGGCTCGGGCGTGCCGTCCTCGATCCAGGCAGACCATGTCTCGCCATTGGAAAAGGTGGCAGATGCACCTTTGAAGTTCCAGGGGTACTCGCCATCGCCGTAAGGCATCTCGACCATCATGTCTGGAGAGAAGAATCCAGTTTCGTCGGAAGAAGGCCAGATGGGACCCTTGTACCAGTTCATCTGGCGGGAGGTGGACCAAGATTCGTTGAGTGGGTTCGTACCAATGCCGCAGTCAGCCAGGACGAGATTCTGATTGGGGTTGGTCATGGCGAAGGACGGTTGGATGATGGAGGACATGGCCGACGCGGCGTGCAGGGTGTTGATGAGAGCCATTTCGAACGAGTTCAACAGGAGCTGAGGGTAAAACGAATGTGTTGGGAGTCCAAAAGGTCCAAAATTGAGGTGATAGGTGACGTGATTCAAGAACGAGAGGTTGAAGGATTGACGTTGTCGAGGTTGGAAAAAGATGGAGGTCAGAGGAAATGGGGAGAAGGGGACTCAAGAAAACCGGAAGCAAAACAGACGTCGAATATCAGTCCTTCCCGTTCGAGTTCGCAGCTTCCCTTCCGAGTCGAGGCTGTGTTTCATACCAAATCACGCCCCCTTGGGTTCCGAATCCAAATGAGGAAGCCATGTGGTTGAAGGTAGAGAAGGAAGCGACGTCGATAGCCACGTCAATCTTGTATGTACAACCCACAGACGGAAGCCACTCCGGCAAGCCTTTCCCCGGAGGGCTTGCTGTATCACGGCGCGGAAGGAACACGGCAACGTCCCGACGTTTTGTTGCACCCGCCTGGCAGGCGCATGATCGAGATGGGCGGCGCCGAAGGGCAGGTGTCACCATGCCATTTCAGATGTGACGAATGGGGGATCTGAGAAATGGACAACCACTCGGCTTTGACTGATATTTAGTACACGGGAATTGTAGAATTGCAGGCAAAGAAATACGAGTCTATTTCTAATGATAGCATCATTCTATAGCTATGTGATATTTATACCTGCGATCGTGGGTGATTTTATGACTCGAGTTGTGGTGGAATTCCACATAATCTAGCCCAGATCGCTAGAAAGTGCGGGCAAACGCGTAAGCTACGAACGCCCAGTAAATTTTGTATTCATCCGCCGGTTTCAACATCATGGGAACATAGTTCTCAACCCATTCTGTGTGCAGAGGCTCCGGGTATTGATTCATTCGCTTGACTTTGCAGTATTACCATTACTCTGGGTACCATCCCGCGTGTTCTCAGTCGATAATGGCTGCAATTCTCGGGAGTGGCCCTGGTGTCAGCATGATATATTTGACGGGAGAAGGTCGGCATTCGTGAACACGATGTCCTTCTTGTCGTTGATCCCAATGCCGCAAGTGATGAGGAATTTCTCGATAGCATCTGGTTCTTCGAATGGCCCTAAGCTTTCGGGAAAATCCCGAAGTATGATGTCGTTCAAGGGCTGCTTCAAGTGTTTCCCTGTGTAGATGAATGCCAGGTCAGACTCGGTTCGTTGTGCTTTTTGCAAGAAATAAATAGAACTCACCGATGCACCTTTCACTCTCATCTTGCTTCCAAGCTCTCCATGCATCCACCATGACCCTCAGCCCCTTACAGACATCCAGCCGTTCGTCTTCAGCCATCTCAATCCACCTTTCCTCCAGAGTATCTCCTTCGACCAAGGACATGTATATAAATCCCTGTCCTCCATCGTCTACCCAACCAAACACCTCAGGGACCGGCACTTTGCCTTGGAGCTTCTCACGAACCATGATTTGAGTCGAGGCCTCGACAATGGTCACGAAGCGACCATATTTGATGAAACGATCAAGATCACGAATGACGACAGGTGGTGGACTGTCGAACTCATCTGCGCAGGGATCGCCCGTTGCAATATTGATGGCTCTGACTTCGGCTGGGCTGGGAAGCGTAGCCCCGGGATGGTCTTTGAAGAAGCTTGAGTCTGTGTAGATTGTCATAGGAAGTGCAGTAGGCGAATCGCTAGAAGCCGTTGCCTCCCGCGAAGAGTCTGTGTTCTCGGTTGCCATTGTAGTTGTGGATGGATCTCAACTGATTGCTCTCATGCCGTCGAATTTTTAGATGTCTATTGGACGTCGTCTTCCTTGGACTGTTGGTCGATTCCAGCCGCCGTTGTCTCTGATGGCGGGGCAGTGCACGCGGATGCCTGCTCGAGGCATGCAAACCAGTTCACCTGATGCTGATAAAACCGATATGTTATTCACCTACAAACCACATGAATTCAGGCATTGAAGTTTGCACTTCACTTCCACACGTGGCTGGCTGGGTTGGTACTCGCAAGAATCGGCGACGTGGTTGATGCTATTTCCGTACGGTCTCGACAGGGACAAACCATGGGGATCATGAGCTTATTCAGAGCGCAGAGTTCAGCGTCACCTGCATCCAGTTGCCAATATTTGACAAAAGGTAAGACCAACGCATCTTACTACATCAAGTCGTGAGTTTTGTTTTAATGAAAGTTTGGCCATGTCATGAAAAAGGAGTCGGGCCGCCATCTGAAGAACTTCACAGTGTTCCGCTGTGATGCAGAAAGAAAGTGGACCTCAAGCTCAGCTCCAGCAGCAAAGGCGGGGCAGATTGCTGGGAACACTGCAAATCAGCGCTGCTCCAGGGCACAGACGTCGGTGAAGCAGCCGGCGGTGCCCCCAAGACCCCTAAAAATAAGAACCAGCCCACATGGGGGAGTGGGGCGCTGCTTGTTCACAGCGCACCACTGTGACCACGCCCGGATCTGAAAGGCTTCCTTCCTCAAGAAACGGGACCAACGAGAGACAGCTTGACGCACCTCAGCCGCACTCGGCCTCAATCGAGACTAGCTGACACCACCAATTCCTTCACTCCTGTGACTATCGGTTGAAACCATGTCGCCAAAAACGCCCTGCGCCACGTTAACTCCGTCGCCCTCCTCCTCGTTGTCGCGACGCGGGCGGCAGCGCTGTCAATCTTGGACCTTCTCTCGCGACGACACGATCATGTCTTCTCGAGAGTGCGACTGACGACTGGAATCTTGACGCAGCCAGCGGACAGATCTCTCTATCCGGATTCAAATTCTGCGGTGCGACGATACGAGCTGCGCAGGAGCTCCGGATCACCAGTCAACCAGCGAGCCCGGGAGCTCGACCTCGCACAATCAGCACCTCGACGACGACGACAACCTCAATCTCGACGAAAGCTTGAAGCCAGCAGCACGCCCAATACTTCAGCAGACAACATTCAGCAGCCATGGCGGCTCTTCCTCCTAACTGGGAATGGGATTATGATGGCACCCGCTGGTTCTACCGCTACAAGCCAAATGGCCATGTCCAATTCCACTTCCCCAAGGAGGGCGACGAGTTTCCCGACTTTTTCGACGCCATGTCCCCAATTCCCGACCTCTCGCCCGAAGAGAAGCTCGAGAGTCAGCAGCAGATGAAGAGACGGACTGGCGGGGACCCTGACCCGAAGTCCCAAATGCGTGCGACTGGAGGACCCCTAGCCGACTTTGGGATGAGCAGGAGCGGTTTCGGGGGGCCGCTTGACGACGACGATGGGGCGGGATTCTTTTACCAACCCGAGAACTTGATGTATCTCGGGCCTGGCGCATATACTGATATCAGCCCTCTAGCTGACGAGGATGAACGCGACGAGATCCCGAGGGATAGGCGCAAAAGCAGGGACAGCGCGAGCCCCAAGAAGGAGAGGACGACGCTGGAGCTGGCTGGAAGCGACAAAACGGGAGTGTCGCCTCTGCAAAGCGAGACAAACACACCATCCGTAAAGAACAGCGTCCCCGTCCGAGAGTCTGCTGCCGTACCAGAGTCAGTGGCAGAGGAGGCTGTGCTGATCATCAACACCCAAGAGCTTCCCGGGCCAAGTCAACCAGTGATCCCATCTCCCGGAGTACCACTGCTCGATTCCGTCGAGAAGCCCCATCCGACAGCCGACCCGGCCGTCCAGTCACCACCTTGGGACCCTGTCGGATTCGTGGCAGAGATGGCGACAGAACATACCGCGCCTGCGCACATTGAGACGCATCCTGACCCAGTCGAGATGGGCGACAACGCTGTCCTGGCACCGATAGAGACGCAGATCATGGATCCTGGCATTGCTGAGCTTCCCGAACGGACAAGTCCATCAGATGCTAAACCACCAGTCCCATCCACTCACGACCTTTTACATCAGACGAGCATGAGTGATCATGCCCTTTATGGAGCTACCTTTGGTACAGGTTCAAGACCTCAGAACTCTTCACCAACGAATTCCGGGAAGGTGAGGACCAGTACGCGGCCTCTTGCTGTGCCACCAAAACTTCCTCTCGACGACTCCCTACCAGAGGTCGTTCCACACCAGGCCCAAAGCTCTACGTCCACGCCGACTACCCAACCATTCAGTATCGAACGGAAACCCTCAAAGACGGGACCCAAACAGGGCACTTTTAAGCCATACGTCCCTGGATCTACGCCGAACCCCATTCCCGGCAAGTCGCAACCCAAAGAACCTGACTTTGTGCGCCGCGACCACCGAAATTCTTTGGCACGAGAGGCATCGTTGATGTTGGGCCCCCGCCAGAGCTACGAGACATCAAACATACCTTCGATCTTGCAGCCTCCGCAGATTCCCCCAAAGCAACCGTTGGAATCCACCCAAACGCTCATTCAACATCCCGTGAACCCTGCGAGGCCCGATGCAACACGAACGCAAACCGAACCGGCTGGGGTTCTCACCAGTGTGACGCAGTCTTCGGGGCCATCCAAGGGTCCCTTGCAATATGTACCATCCGTGCTAAAGCCTGCGAGAGGTCGGCCACAGGAGGCAGCGACAACTCTACCTCCACCACCTAGCACGAAACAAGTACTTTCGGGATGTGCCCAATTCTCAGCCTTCCGACCCGGAGTCCACGCCGCAACGCCGGCGCCGGGGCAAATCCCCCACCCCCTCGCTCCGACCCACGCTCCGGAGTCTCTCTCGGGTGCTCGGCCCTGTGTCCAGCGTGTCGAAACCGCGCCCGCAGATCATCATACGGCTGGAGATCATGCCCCTACGCCCCAATTTGGGACTCGACCTTCTGCGGTGCCGACTTTGCCTGCGTTTTTGCAGCGCCCTACGGGTCAAGGCGATTCGAGTCGTCAACCAGTCAGCCGGCCGCAACAGCATGCTTCGTCGTTTAGTGCACGAGCAAGATCGAGGTCTGATCTTCCCCAACCTCTTCACAATGCTCATAGTACATCTGCATCTATGATCGGCCAAGTTCAACCTCCACCAAGACCTGGCTCGGCGGCGATTCCTAGGGCTGAATCCCCGCCTAAGACTAGTACTGTTACTCGCCCACAATCGGCTATGGACTTTATGCAGGGCCGGCCTGATCCTAGGATAGACAGAGTGATCAACCAGACGACACCTACTCCGCCTCCAGATAGACCAAGACAGACCTCGTATGCGTCTAGCGAGGTGTCGTCATTAGGGCCCCCATCGGGAAGTCAATCGTCAGGGTTACCATTCCAGACACCCTCGCCTTTAGAAAGTAACGGGAGACGACCGTCGTCAGGCTTCTTCAGAAGCGCGGATGCGAACGCAAGCCCCATGGAATCTGCCATAACCCCAGTTCCTCAAAGACAAAACCCGTTTGAGATACAGACTCTTCCTCTTCGATCTCCGGCGTCGAGGCCGGCATCTTTCTCCGGCCCCTCTCCTACCTCGACACAGCCTACGACGCCTGGATCCGCGGGCTTTGACACCACAGCGGGTCCTCCTGAGGTTTCGGGCATGGTTTCGTCAAAGCCTTCAGCTGGTGTCTCGCAACATGCGTCAGGCATGCCAGGTGGTCGCGCAGCCCACAATGTTATTGAGCCTATTCAGTCGCCTACAGACCGTCAACACTCTGTGCCTGCTGAGGGGTTTGCTGTGATGGATTCACAGCCTTTACCTGTGCAATCGACGTCAAATGGGTCGTCTAAGTATGGACCTCAACAGCAACAACCACATCAGCAAGGCCAAGAGATCCCAAGGCCTCACTCTGCCCAGCCAGTCCCGTCCGCCCCAGGTGGTGGCAAGCAGCCAGGAACACATCCGCCGTATCCACTCGAAGAGGGCCAGAACATGCCCAGACCGGGTGACCGTCCACAGCGTCCAACGGTCACGCCACCAACACAGCAGTTCCTTGGCCCTACCAGTCCTCGAACACCTGGGCATATTCTTCATCCAATTCAAGAGCACCATGACTCTGGCGAGACCAACCAAAATGTCTCGGGCACCGCTGCGTTCCAGAACACAGATTCTGCTCCTCGAGCATCCCCTGCAAGTATCCGTCAAATGTCAAGAGGATCATCCCAGTATCCGTCATCAGCGGAGTCGCCCGGTGGGCAGGGCAACATGCTCGGCCGAGGAAATCTCACGAGCATGCCTCAAGCCATGTCACCAGTGGTCGCGACCATGGGTCAGACGTACTCTCCTGTACAGTCCAATCCGTTCCAAGTTTCCCCAACCACTACGAGAATGCAGCCACCGACTCCAGTGATGCGCCCGGGATCCACACCACAGGTCGTGCCACATGGCAAGGACAAGGAGAAAGGAGGCTGGCTTTCCAAGATAATGAAGGGTTCCGGTAAGCCAAACGTGCTGCAAAAGCCACCACCATCCCCGAATATTGGCCCAGCGTCGCCTCACTCGCCAAATACTACTCGACCGGCCCAAGGTCATAACACAGGACGGGTCGCAGCACAGCAATCCAACCAAGCAACCTACAATCAGCAAGCCCCAGCTGCATTTCAGCAAAGACAGCACCCTATTACGTCTGAGCCAGTGTCTAGACCTCAGAACTTCGTTCCACCCCCGGCCGGGCCCATTCTGGCGCCGCCTACCGGTGGCCCAGAGCCCATGATGAAGATGCAACAGGCTCCGGCAGTCGAGGCACCCCAGGTAGCTCCAAGGCTACAAGTCGATCAATCGCAACGAGCTGATGCCACACAAAGCGTGAAGAAAACAGTCTCTAGTTTGCCCCCTCGGGGGCTGTCACCGGCAACCGTGGCACCGAGTGAACACACAGCAGACAACATGTCCGATGCCGCATCCGTATCTGCCATCTCTGTCTCTACAATGGACGTATCCGAGGCTCAGGCGCAGCCTGTGTTGAAGCCCCAACTTGTCACGGTTGAGAAGGCTCCCTCGCTACCCGATAAACACCAGCTACCTTCGCGGGTTGCGGCAGCTTCCGGCTCGTTATCTCAGTCACCACCCAAGACTGCGGATCCGGCGACTAGCTCCCAGCCTTCTATGGACAGTGAGTTCACCGTTGAGCCTCTGTTTTCGAAGAGGAAGAGCATCGCCGCGGCCCCGCCGGTGCCCGTTGTGCCTCCAGCTCCTGCCGCTAACGACAAGTGGGCTAAGAAGCCTGCGGTGGACTATTCTGGTGACGATTGGGGTGATGACCCATGGGATTATGCTTGAGGTCAGAATTAAGAGGCGGGCAACATAGCGATCTCTCCTGTTTTCCATCATTCAGAAGCATACCCCCAAACAAATTGAAGAAATGTTTGCTCAATCGCCTCGGACCCTTTTGGACAATCGTGTTCACCATTATTAGACACTATATTAGCTAAATGTAGACGACCATCAACTGCGTCATCTACTCCTTCACCGGCAACAAATTTAAAATCCCACTCAACAAATCCGTCCTCAACGCCGTCCCGTTCTTTGCCCCGACATATCCCACCCCAGAGCTCGTACACCCCGGCACCAAAGCACACACACTGCTCCCGAGCCCCTCCCTCATAAAGTTCCCGCCCACCAGCACCAGCCCCGCCTGCTGGACATACCCCGCCAAATCGAACGGCGCGCGGGCGACGTCTTCTACCAGGTTCAGCGCCGGCGGCGTATACTCTCCGGGGGGCTGCCGGAAAAGCAGCGAGACGTAGCGGTGCGGCGCGACGGAGAGCGGAGTCAGCGGCATGTAGCGCGCTTGGGTTACGGGCGACTGGGCGAAGACGCAGGAGGGCTGGAGGTTGTAAACTAGGTGGTGGAGGTAGAAGCGCAGGAGCGGCAGGGAGGGGCCCGGGGCGTCGGGGTCGAGTTGGATGTAGGTGTATTTTGTGGAGGGGGGGTAGAGGGCTTCGGGGGGGAAGGAGATTGTTGGTTCTTGGAGGGTTTCTGGTGCGTTCATCATTAGTTGCATGTTTTAGCTTGGAGAGGAGAGACAGGAATGAGAGTAAAGGAGGGTGAGTGGACGTACGCGCAGCGGAGAAGGTGTTGCCGAGGTTCTCTGGGATGTTACCGTAGAGCACCTGTAGTTCGGTCGTGGGGTTGATGGAGGTGAGGATGTCGGGGATTATGCCGGAGGACTGGAATGCGGCGCGGACTTGGGCGGCGCGCGTTGCGGGGAGGCCTACTGTTGGGCATATTGGGGGTAGGAGGATGCTTAGGGGTGAGGCTGAGGAGAGGGATGCTGCGATGAGCGCGAGGAGTGGTGTAATTTGGGACTTCATGATGTCGTGTTGATGTGGAATGGAGGTAAGATAGGCCTGATGATGTTGGGATTCTTCCCGTTCAGCAGCTGGAATGCGCTCCGTTTATATACGTCTTGATATCTCCATCTCCAAGTGGTTGAACTGGACTGACGTCGTTAGGAACAAGTGAGACATCGCAAGCGCTAAGAGAAAGCCGTCCAGCCAAGACGACGTTGTGTCTGGCTCGTCTCCCCGAATGCGTTGCCAAGATAGATTTTGGAGGTTGTTTCTTCCGGGACGAGAAAAGATGATCGGCGGACGGGATGTTGAGGCTGAATCTTTTAGCGGGGGTGGGTAGTGCCGCTGACGGACTTGTGTTAGCGTGGAACCACATTTGAGGCGTCTTGGAGTGTGATATGACATCAAGTGTTACTGTGGCTGTTCATGTGTTGTTTTGGGACTGAAAACCCCGTCTTCTGATCAATTGCATGGATGGCACATTTGAGAAAACCATTTGACTTACGAACTTCATGTGTTGGACATCGAAGCAACTCTGAAAAGGTCTTCAATGTTAACTTCCTTTTGGTTTTCTGTCTTGCTGAAATCACGCTTACTCTATTCAGCACTAGCTCAACCCCTTTCTTCCATAACTAAAGGAACGACTCGCCTCGAACGTTCAAATATCTAGGCCATTTCATAATTCAATCCTCCCGATTACAAGTACAGGTTGACCATACAATTCCCAGAATCATCTGGCTGCCTTTCTAAAAGCTTTGATGCCTCAACCACTGGACCCAGAGTCGGAGTGGTGGATAGGTCGATGGCCCGTCTCAGACGCACGCATGGCATACCCGGACTATCCCGAGGACGTCCCGCCCATTCTTCGCATGGACGCCCTCCGCCGCTTATACTGGCCAGTGTACGAGGACATCTCGAACATCCAGGTCTTTGACGACCCAGAAGAGGACGAGCAGGACTCGCCCAAACGCCCTTTCCTCGGACATCCCTTGGCCGAGGAACACGTCACCAACTACGGCCTGACTGAGCTCCTGATCAGAATCGGCATGCAAGAGGGCAAAGAATGCCATACCCTCGACAACGAAGAATACGAGGACCCCAAGATGGTGGTCAAACGTGACGATGGCGGGGCGATCACGTTTGGGGACTTTGTGACACAGATCCATCCGTTTCTTAATGAACACAAGGAGGAGACTCTGCAGCTTTGGGAGGAGCTTCTGGAGAGAGTGGATGAAGGCGAGGTCATTCTCTTCGATTGTTGTTTGACCGGATATCCCCAAGATTTGGAGAGTCGAGAGGAGACACTGCCGGTGACTATAGAGCTTAAGAAAAGCACCCAGAAGTATGATGAGCGGTATTACCGGTGGAAGGCTGCCAAGGCTGCAGCGCGGCAGAAGGAAACCGTTCAAGAGGGGGAAGACACTGCAGAGGGGTGAGAATTGTGAAGAAGAAAGGACGCATTCTCATTTGATCATTATCTGTAAAGGTTGACGTAAGAAAGGCATATCAAACTATTCGACCTCTTCAACTTTGACCTCTGTCTTCAGCACCTCCCAGAACTCAGGACGAAGCTGTATGAGGTCTGCAGGAGTCATGCCCTTGTCATTCTGCAACTCTTGGTTGGCACCAGCATCGATGAGCGCAGCCACGAGACTTCGTTTGCGCTGTACCACCGCTAGATGCAGGCATGAGTTGCCGTGATCATCTTGCGTGTTAACATCCACTCCAGCTGCGATCAACCAGTTCGCTGCCACCAAACACGTTGATTTGTTTCGATACGCGCAGCACATCAGGGGTGTGGTGCCATCTGCTGCCTGGACATTGAGATCCGCTCCGCTGGACTTGAAACATTCTAGAATCTCTTTTATGTCTGCAATACTTTCCTTCTCATTCCGAAAGCGGTACGGCGCTTTGCCCATACGCCAACCCCTTGCGTCGCCCCATGCCTCCTAATAAAGAAAAAACATGTTAGCTGTGAAAGTAAGCAGATGACATCTCGCTTGCTAATGTTCCCAGGCCTCAAGATCCCTCGAATGCCAAGGTTGTATCGGTAAACTCACAGAGATGTGATAGTCTGCCTTGAATGATAGCGTAAGCACCTGGCTGGTCCAGAAGTTTCCCTCCCGTTCGAAAATTCTGTTCTTAGCAACAGTAAAGCTTTCCTGGTCACCTGCTATGTAGTGCAGTGGTTTAAACCCCCAATAATTCGCTAAGTCAGGGTTTGCGCCCCATTGCAGCACGAGGCGGGTGTGCCTGACGGAGTTCCTTCGAACTGCGATATGCAGCGGCAAGATGCCAAATTGGTCTCCCCGGTTTACGTCACAGCCTGCTTTGAGCAGGAGCTTCATGACTGAATCAGAGTTGAGGGAACAGAAGCCATCGTGGTGGGCACCGTACCCGAGATCAAGTTCGGCTGCCAAGAACAACGGAGTGCGACCGTACAAATCTTGAGCTAAGACTCGAGCCCCAGCCGATAATAGCAACCGTACAACTTCCAAATGGTCCATATACACCGCTCCATGAAGCGGTGTATGACCGTCGTCGTTGATCAGATTAGGATCGGCTCTGTAGTCAAGAAGGGCTTGCACGGAAGGTACAGACCTTCGTAGCACAGCGATATGAAGAGGGGTATTCCCACACCAGTCCCTTGAAGAAACTGACCATTCTCGCGGGAGGTGTCGCTGCTTCTGAAGCAGGAAACGAACCACTTCGCCGTGTTCACGCATTGCTGCATGGTGCAGCGCTTTCGTTCCTCGGAATAATCCGTGAATACCCCAGAAAAGACCCACAGGCTTGTAGTCAAGCATATGCTTCAGAATGGGCATGACTCCAAGCTGCGACGCAACGTGGATAGGATTATACCAACTTTTCAAACCCAGGCCAAATGCCAACGGCTCTAAAAAGAGTAAAGATCTTCTCACTAATTGTGAAAAGTCGCCGCCGCTGTCTTTTGCGTGATCTTCGAAGCAGTCTATTGCGTACCTCTGTACCCTGGACCCCTTTTCTCTGCATTTTCGAATGTCGTCAGCGAGGTCTTTTGAAATCTTCGAAGATTCCAGCATGTCCAGACAAAGACTTGCGAGCTGCAGATGCGCCTTTTGTTGTTCAAAGCGAAACGTCTCCAATCCTTGGCCAGCGTCCGACGACGGGCGATACAGGTAATCTTTCACCGACTGGTGCACCAACCGCATGACTCTCTTCCCAAGTATCGGGTGATCCATAAGAATCAGAAGGCTACCGCATTGGGCGACGAGTGATTCCGTTACTTCAGAGGCCGTTAGGTGAGCAGTAGGCTGGATACTCATAAGGGACTCCATTTCCTTGACATTCATCGGGTTGTAGACCGTTGTCACCACAGAAAGAAGGCGAGACACAGATCTCACGCTTTCAGGGTCTACTTTCCCCAGAATTCGTCTGTAGATGCCATTTAGGCCAGGAGGCAGGCTGTTAAGGCAAGTTTCGACATCAGCTAGTGGCCTCGTTCCGAGCTCCTGTACCGCAAGATCAACCCAGGGAAATGTTCCTTCTGATCTCTTTATGAAGGTATCTTGGAGGACTTGTCGAAGTTCTGGGGGATAGCCACCGTTATCTGACAGCTGTTGCACTCGTTGTTGGATGAAGGTACTGAGATCTGCCTTCACCTCCTCTTCCGCATCGGTATCAAGACGAAGGGGCACATACTTAGAGAGTGCGCTCGTCAATGACGGATGCAGGGTTCGACTTAGAATTATTGGCATTAATCTGGAGGTCCTCACACCCAGAAGGCTGTTAATTAGTTCGCCGCAGGTGTTGTCGCATTCGTCTAGGCCATCGATGACACAATATACACACCCAGCGTCTAGGTCCTCAACCATGTTGTTGAAAGTTCGACAGAGCGATTCAAAACGCACATTGTACGTCTTGAAACCCCGCTCGCGCTTCTCCTCAAATATCCCATGTTTAGACAGACCGGGGTTCAGAACCACGAGTTGGGAAATGAGACCTCGAAGTATCCCTTGGGAACAGCTCATCATCTGTCTTTGACCGTCGCAAAAAAAGTAGATAACGGACTCTGTCGCCGACTTCTTGGCCTTCATCTCAAGATCCTCGGTCAAGAAAATTGACATCATGGATTTGCCCATCCCTGCGCCGCCTGTGATCCACAGGCCTGGACATGGGGTGTCCATCCACGTGTTGTAGGCATCCGTTTCCAGTATCCACGAGCAAGTTCCGTCAACTCTTTTCCCTTTGGCAGAGACCAGGGCGGATCTTTCGTCACTTGAGTCGGTGATGAACACCGCTCCAAGAAACCCATTTACTTCGTCTTCACTAGAACCAACAGTGCTAACAGTGCTGGACTGGGTTTCTACGGCAGCAAGGTCTCCGTCATGCTCTTCGCCCATTTGATACCGGGCATCTCTGCCAAGCTGTCAGTCATCCAGTCATAACATGGTCATGAGATTTCACATACGAGATGGCAGCCGCTATTTGCAACTCCAACGACGCCTTCTCCCTCTGGAGTCTGTTAAAAAGACGGATGATCTCTTCCTCCATATCCTTTGAAACAATTGACTTCCAGGAATCCCTAAAGGTGTGATCCTTCTTGAAGGAGCGGATCTCCTCCAGAAGGACTTGGATATCTGAGACGTTGTCGGTACACCGTTTCAGACTGGCCCCAGTTTCGCGGTCGCGCCCGAGAACGGGATTGAGATCTATTTGGTCGCATATCTCACTGAAGCCTTCTAGCTCCTCCAGGCGCTTCTGAACCCAGTCTCTCTCCCAGTCGCGGCGGAATGTCACCATAAGTAGGGTTCCGGCGTGTTGCGCTGCCGCAATAGCAGCGCGAAGAGCTTCCATGATTGCCGACTGGTTAGGCGCAATTTCCGCGGGAGATGAGACAGAAGAGATCGCGTCTTTTTGATCATAGACGCAAGTCCAAGCCAGAGTCGTCAGAACGACTTCCAAATGGCCCGGAGATGTTTTGTGAAGAAGAAAAGAGATGCCGCCGCCGCAGCCTGATCCAAGATCAGTTATAGATGCACAGTCCCTTTATTGTCCCAATGAGAACGCGTACTCAATATGGGGCCGAATCATCTGCATATTGTAACGTCAGCACAGTTCCTATTGGCTGAGTGTGCGAGCAAACATCCAATGTTGCACAAAGACCCGTATGTGCATGTTATCGGAACCAATTTCGCTACTCAGGCTACACGAACGGCTGCTAACGCCAAGGCGGATAGCGTCATTGTGAAACTCAGAAAATGCACATTAATCGTATCAATTGAAACTTTCTCTAAATGTGTGATTCTAATGATATGGCGTTCCTCGACGTATTTCACTACACTTGTCTTTGAGGGTGAAGTCCGTTTTAAGGCTTGCAGACCTTCACCATCCCTGAGACCCGTCGATCGTTTGCCGTGTGACAGCTCCAGCGCGAGTAAACTTCCAAAGCCAGCTACTGAGTTGTTGAATAGAACTAAGCTACAAATGATCAGACGTACCAAGCTAACCCTTTTCTTCTTGAGCGATGGCAACTATCCTTGTTACACATGTTGTAGTCCCATGTGTCTTCATTGCCCTCGTAAGAGCTTGGATCCAGTGACTTGAGCCACAGCGGCAAGTCCTCAACTTTGGGCGTCAGCCAAGCCTCCTGCTTTCCCTTCGCGTCCAGGACCACTTCCATCTCTGAGACAACTCTTGTTCCAGCCAGCATCACCTTGTTTCCTTGTAAGGTCCAACGATACGTCGCCACGCATTTGTCGCACCTGGCGGTGTGGTAAGTATCAAGCTCACAGTCCACCATGAACTTTCCCGCAAGATTGTCACAATCGCCGCGACATATGCAGCACCTATCCGCCATGGGCAGTGAATGTTCCAGGCATGCATTTGGAGCCGCGGTTGTCCGAAAGCAAAGACAGCGGTTGGCATCGAATGGACGCAACAGAAAGCTGTCTTCGAAATCCGTATGTGGACATAGATAATCGTTGTGTGGCTGTAATTGGGATAGACCCTGTTTCAAGAGATCCTTGGTGACAACTTGGTTCGATTTCAAAGTACAGACCGTAAGCTTCCAGGACGCCATGACTCTATCTTTGGGCGTTCGCAGAAGTCTTGGAGGCACGTCGCCAACATTTACAAGTGCCTTTTTGCAATCTGTGCACTCAAATGTTGTGTTAACTCCGTTCTGCCGCCTCTTGTGGTTGATGGGTTCCGAGAGAGACAAGAATTTGTGGCGGCAAAGCCTGAACTTTCCTTCCCAGGCAATGCACATTGGACGTGACAATGTGTACTGAGTATTCGAAAATAACGTGCATCTATGGTTGATCTTGCAGCCGGTGCAGGGTGTCGGGTGCGGGTAGCCGTTCCCCCCATAAGGTGGGAAATGTGCACCGGGGAGACACTCGCGGCAGACATCAAGGCGAAGAAGATCCCTGATAATACCCTTGTGATGAGCCGAGATAATACTCTGGTTGAACTTAATGATAGGCTCGTGTGCGCCGGGGAGACTGGCGCTGTCGTGACCATTCGGCTCGTCAGCCTGCTGCGCTCGCTGGTATGTTGGGCGGCCACGATTGTGCTTCCCTGCCTTTTGGGGGCTTGCAGTTACGAACAGTCGGTTATGGCTCGTGAAGATGGATGCAAACCGCGAGGAAACTTGTCGAACGCAGTAAAGTTCGACAGGACCAAGATAACAGACTATGTCGAGAAGTACGTGGTCGGAAAGTCGGAAAATCGGGCTGTTCTCCTGGTTCTGGGCGCGCCGAGATAGAAAAGAAGTACAATATCCTGTGCTGTAAAAGGAAAACTGGTGACTATCTTCAGATTGGGGGCGGTATCTGACGGTCTCTTGCGACAGGATGCTCTCAGTTGACTGCTCCATGACTGTGACGGGTCTAGATAAAAATGACACGAACTGATCGATATTGAAGTCGATTAAGCGGTTAGAAAACACTTTTCCAGTTTCACGGGGGAGTTTCGTATCTATATATCAACAGCATTGAGATATCGGAGGAACATGTGGTCGTACGGGTAGTGATTACCCTGTAGTCGCCATATCGACCACTTTACTTCCCACCACACGGGTCCTTTGGTTTCCCTCCTCTGAAAAAAAAAAAAAAAAAAAAAGCAAAAAGGTAGTTCATCAAGGTTGAACTGGATGGCTCGCCTCATTTCACGTAATCTTTGAACCCGTCCTGAGAACAACAAGACAATTTCACGCCCTAGTGGACACATGTAGACAGAGCCGATAATGGACTCAAATCTGGGGGCGCTTTAATATTATCACATGGCACACTGAAATCAAGATTCTTTAGACAAGGAATAGACGTGCATACAGGTAGAAATGCATTGCCTAGACGTACTACCCATATAGCTTCTGAGGGCTATCAAGTTCAGTTGAAAATTTTGAATGCCTCTTCAGCTTCAGCCTTCTCAACCTCATGCTTTCCAGGATATGCTCGTTCGCATGCAATCATGGCCTCCAAAAAGTCATTGTCGAAAAGCCAGTCTCGTACAAACCTTTCGAATATCTCATAGCCCCAGGTTCCCCAGTGTCGGCATGCGCGTTGAATCTGTTTATCGATGACTCGTCTGCGTCTCTTTCGCTGGTCCATCTTTCGCCAGCTGGCTACGGCCATGGAAGCAAGGAAGTTCAAACGAACAAAATTGTCACCAGGGCGAGCTTCTGTCTGAAATTTCAGTTTTCGACCTTCCAGTTGCCTCAAAGAAATTATGTCTTGCTTTATGCTGAGTGTCTTGCCCTGCTTTGCTGATGGGTGAGTGGGATCGATGAGAAGAATTTTGTACTCCTTGATGGGGCTTTCTTGCCAAGCTTTGAGGCACTGTCTATGCTCGTCATCTTCTGCGTCCGAATCGTCGTCTGATTCACTGGCAAACTCATCGGGCTCAACCCCGACGTCCGGAACAATGCAGAGTACGCCATCCTTCAGACCCTGGACAATGTCTTCGTGAAGGAATAGACCCTTCTGAGCACTGAGCCATTGATCAGGTGTGTTTTCATCATATATCCAGTCGTCCAGTAAGTCTCGGTGACGTAGTGTACACAGATGCCTCGCACGAACAACTCGAAAACCTCCCCATTCATGCAGAACAGGATCCCATCGCTGGTTGCATTCGGGCGGGTTGGGACAGTATGCGCCGCACATGATGTGCGCGAAGGCTTCCTCCTGGGACACCCCTTCCACTTGAGTGCCGTCGTAAGTTTCGAAAAGACTGGTAAATTTGTCGAGTTTATCGTACCACCCATCCCTGGATCTTCTTTTTTCGGCGATTATGCTCAACCGCTTGAGAGCGAGCATTCGTGAGTTGAGTTTGTGGTTGTCCTTCCGCGTCATCCAGGCCTCAAGTCCGATGGATTCGCCGGCGGTTTTACTTTTCAGAAGCTCCTTTCGGATTTCTATGGCAATGTCATCTGCCCATGAATGCAGAATTCGGGCGACCATGCCCCAGTCGAGACGTTCGTATTCGTCCACACATACCCGGTCCCTGTCGTCAATCCCTCTTCTGGCTTGTTCGGCAACGATGATTGCTGCAGCTTCATGATTGGCTTTGGTGGTATCGAAGCCATCGTCAATCGTTGGATCAGCATGGTGCCCTGCAATCATGACTAACGACGTCAGAATGCTGTCACTGACAAAGGGCTTTCCGCGGCATGCCTGCCTCCAGAACCTTCCCACATGCATCACGTATTGGGAATGCTTGATAGGGCTCGTCCCGCCCTCATCGTCATCCTCAATGTAGACCCTAATATTGGACTTGTAGTAACCATGGGTATTCTTGGATCTCCAAGCAGCAGCTATAGCTGATCTCATGTAGTTCCATCACATGTATTGTGTCTTAGGTCTGAAACCGTCGCGAAAGGACAGCATGCGGCCTTCAACTTCCCAGAGAAACGTTACACCGAGCTCCGGAGTCGCACGGTCCAATCGTATCTCAAGGCAATCATGCCAGTAGTCGATCACAACGACTTGATAGCCTTTCGCATCGTCAAATTCATCTGGTATGAGAGCCAGAACACCCTCATCAAGAGCTCGACCAATGATAGGATGCGTCAAAAGTCCGTTGTAAGCGCTGGAGATATCTTTCGAGGCTCCTTCGCCAAAGATTCTGTCCATAATATTGACCCAGCGACTTGGAAAGAGACGGACTGGCCGACATCGATCATGTGGGGACCACTTGCCAAGCACATGATCCCAGTATTCACTTTTCTTTTCCGGTTCCTGACCGGCGTGGTATTTTTGTGCCAGCTGCTCCCGAAAAGTCTTCTCGTCTTGGAAGTTTGGCCGATGACTTGAGCCTCGGAAGAACTTCATGAAGTTTTCCTTTAGTTGCCCCTGGTCGGGATCAGACTTGTTAACTTGCTAGTTGCAAATGTCAACGGCTTTTTGGTGTGCTAAGTGGCGAGCTTGCCACCTGTACTGTGTTTCTGTCTCACTCAGCCAGGCTCCAAAGCGCGTGACGTCTATATCCTCGAAGTATCTTTTCTTTGAATCCTTGACGAATTGTTCGTGGGCCTCGAGTGCGATGCCTTGAACCTGAAGCTGTTCGATCTGCGCGTAGGAGAACCAGAAGTCCAAGTCGTAAGAGAAAGGCACTAACTTCTTCTCTAGGCCTTTAATTATGTGCAGTATGCGGCCGTGTTCTGCTTGGATCTCTTTCAGCGACATTGACAGGAGTTTGGACGTGTTCCAGGGAGTTTCCGATGCTGTTGATGGTTGCGTTGGTACGTCATCCTCCTTCTGGAGATCTGATGTCTCGGTTCTGAAGCATGTCTACCAACTGGACACAGATTCGGCATCACAGAGTGAATAACTCAGGGATGGTGACGGGGCACGGTCATCCATTTCTGCTCGTCTTCGTTGGATTTTATGCTTGTTGAGTGTATATGTCGTCCGTGATGTCAACGCTTTTGCTGATGGAAACTGTATCTGGGAATGAGAGGAGGGATATAACACCGATTGTTCCAAACGTGGAATGTGTCTCCTGGTTTATGGCAAGCTGCCTTCAGGTCCAATATTTAGCCACCTTTGTGGCCAACCTGGATGACTGGCCGACTCATTCCCACTTTACGCTATGACTTCGGAGATGCAAGGTCCTCAAAGACACCCTTTCGCCTCCCCCCCCCCCTTTTCCCTGTCTTCCTTTCTAGCAATGTTCGAATTCCGGACTGGTTGAAAGTTTCAAGCCTGTTCTGTGAACGGCTTTCGTGGCTGCATGTCATCTAAATGCACATGCTCTCATTTTTATTTGTTTTCCAAGTTGCTGAAAATGAAATGTTCACGGTTTTTGGGCCTACCTAGGTTATAGAGTGAACATATTAAAAAAAAAAAATAAAAAAAAAAAAAAAAGGCGTTCCGTTTTGGCCAATATTCGGCTGGTCATGCCTATCGTCGCATGCTCTTAGGCCGTTGTTGTGTCTTTCACTGCACATCATGGAGATCCAACCTGCGGTTTTATATACACGGACTTGAATATTTGATACCCCCAGGGAGCCAAACGGTACTGGGTGACTGGGTCTTGAATGCTTCATTACGTAGATCCCTCCACTTCGTGGACCCAAAAAAGCAAGTGTCGGAGACTCTACCCCCACCACCAGGACCCATAACTTGGAGACTTGGAGTCTACACTTACGACTTGGAGACGTGATAGAAGACACGTTTTGGACCGCAAATACGAATTCACATGACAAAAAACATATTGCTCATCCAATTGATTCGCTGCTTGGCGTAAACGTCCTCTGGATGAATGAGATACCTGACAAATCTATCGTGAGCCGAATGACCCTCCCAATCCCACGGCCAAAGCAAGACTTATGCCAAGGACTTTTGGAACAATATTGAGAACAAACAAGAATACGTTGGTAGCTGCAACACGTGTTATTGTTGGACAACGCCCACTTCAGACGTCATCTGACAAATTAGTCTCATCATCGCTACACGTAGAATGTGCTGTGAGGGTTGTAGTACGATAGCAGAGAATGCCACGGGTTATGAATGAGTCCTCTTCGTCTATTGACTATAAAATGAATCGTTGAGCAAAGGAGTTCCCATTCTTTGCGTCAACACACTTCCTTTCAAAATCAATCATCAAGCTCCAACTACAACATGACGTTGCCCGAACATACTTCAGGATGGATAATTCAGGGCACCGCACCTAACGATGGCTCGGCAGCTCTTGTCTGGAAACAAAATTTGAACTTACCGAAGCTCTCTGAGCATGGCGTTCTGGTTCAATTCCACGCGTGGTCTCTGAACTACCCTGAGATCGCAAGTAAGTTCTGGCCCTGGCAAGCCGCGTGACCGACGACATTCATAAGCTGACTGCCATTCAAGTCGCCACTGGAACTTACCCCTGGAAACAAGACGACCCAGCTGGCATTCCGGGTTCTGATGCAGCAGGAGAGGTCGTCTATGTGGGCAGCGGTGTCGAGAACCTTACTGTTGGAGATCGTGTATTCCCCATCTACTACCCAAACTTCGACTTTGGGTCGGCCCCCACTATCGAGACCGGGCGAGGAGTCTTTGGTCTGGATGCCCCGGGCGTCTTCTGCGAGTACGCTGTTTTTGATCAACGCGCTTTGTCAAAGATGCCGAAGAACCTTTCGTACAAGGAAGCAGCAACTCTTCCGTGTTCGGCGCTGACTGCATGGAACGCGTTATACGGATACAACCCGATCAAGCCTGGATCCTGGGTTCTCGTGCAAGGTACGGGTGGCGTGTCGATGTTCGCCATCCAGTTTGCCCTTGCTGCCGGGGCCTCAGTGATTGCCACGACGTCCTCAGAAGCGAAGGCAGGGCTCCTTCGCGAAATGGGAGTCGAACACATCATCAACTACAAAGAAGATCACGAGTGGGGGGAGACGGCCCGCAAGCTCACTCCTGGAGGCCTTGGCTGCGACCACGTCATTGAAGTCTGCGGGCCTGCGACAATCCGTCAGTCTTTCCAGTGCGTTGCCCGTGGCGGTATCATAAATGTTATCGGGTTCCTTGCTGGGCAGACTCAGGGGCCGGAGGATCCGACATTCCTCGAACCCTTGGTTCGGGCTTGTGTGGTTCGCGGCGTGGAAGTTGGAAGCCGACAGCAGCTTGAAGACATGATCAAGGCTATTGAGTGTCAGGATATCAAGCCTGTGCTGGACAGCGTCGAGTTTTCACTGAAAGAGCTTAAGCAGGTATATGAGCGAGTTTGGAAGAGGGAGCACTTTGGAAAAGCCGTGATCACTGGTATTTGAGAAGCTCGTTGTCTTGATACCCAGATTACGGTTGCTCAGTTAGTCATATCATTATGACTTCATGCATCCCTTTCATACAATAGAATTCATCGTCAACCTCTCATGCACCCTTAACTTAGCCATCGAGTGTTCGAGGGGCAAACAGGAGTCGACTGGGTTTTGGGCTCTGTCGCGTCTCCACCATCCAGCTTGGCGTCGGATAATCCGGTGAAGGCACCACCGCCCAGGGGTTCTCCGGGAGTATTGCTAGGGCACCCTTTCTCTGAACATCTGGAAAGACTTAAACCCGTTTTTTCCTGTCATTCAGGAGCAGAAGTAGTGTTTGCAGAGGCTCCCGCTCAATGTAAGCTAGCACAGTTTGACTTTGAACGTACGAAAAATGTGAGATCAACCGTAAGTTTTCACTGTTTTCTTACAATCCGAAGAGACGTCATTGAATAGATCTGAAAAGCATACGACGTCAATAGCTGGTCTTCTGGAATCGCATGGTTATCATCAACTTGATGCATGCGACAGTGTTGCATCGCTGCAGCGCAGCTTTCGAAGTGGGCCATGCTTGTTTAATGGTAACCTTAATTGAGCTTCACAAAAGAGAGGTCTTGGTCTGAAGCAAGTCGCCAAGACCGTGTTTAATCAAGGTACGCCGGGGCAGGCCAATGAAGTGCCCGGAGTGCTGGGTTTACTTGACTAAATTTGCGTGAAAGGGCAAGATTCGGAAACCTTAATTATCTGTAGCTCATTAGTCCAAAGTGCCAAGTCTCGGAGCTGTGTCTGTTTGTAGCGCTTTCAATTATTCAAGGGGGCACTACTAGGCCTAATTGTTTGGGATTGTTCACGATGGTGACACGAATGACCGGGTACAAAACCCAAAGTCCAGTCAGAAAGCGCCTCATGCTACACTGCTGCCGACATTCTTCCCTTCTTAAAATTCTTTTTCACAATTTGCCCCCTGTGGGCGCACCTTTTTGACTATCGTATGTTCCCGCGAATATCCTCGCTTTCCGGTCTCTTGATTGCCGCAGTCCTTGTCGCTCAACCAGCCAGATCCAAGATACGGACTGATCAATCATGGCGAAGCTGCTAGCAACTTTGTCAATAATTCTTGCGGCGTTGCAGATTGCCGCGGCAGCCTGCACTCACCCAAGCGTGCGGAAGCCTTGGTGAGTGATCATCGACCCGTTGATTGCCCTGATCAATGAGCTGACCAGTGACTTACTCAGGACATCATTGACGGAGGAGGAGAGAGCGTCTTACATTAATTCGACATTATGCCTCATGGACCCGGCCCAGGCTCCGGCCCAAGTCGGAAGCTGGGGAGCTAAAAGCCGGTGGGAAGAGCTGCTTGTTGCGCATATTGCCCAAGTCAGATACATCCACACAGTTGTAGGCTGAAATATTACTTTCATGAAGAGTTCTTACTGATGACGGCTTTTTGCACAGGGCGCATTGTTTCCATGGCATCGCTGGTACACTAAGATCCATGAAGACTTGCTTCGAAGCGAATGCGGCTACACCGGCCCCTACCCGTAAGTCTCTTGCTCCTGACATCCTCAGATATACGGGCACCCCTGCTGACATTAAGTCGTAGTTATTGGGACGAGCAAGCAGATCAGGCCATCAACCCTATTCAGAATGCGAGCGTCTGGGATCGCCCTGCCTCGAATACTTCAGCAGTCGTCGGCTTTGGCACTGGACGAACTGACCAGGACAACTGCATTCTCGATGGTGCCTTTGCGGGATACCGTGTAGAAATCTCAACGCAACTGACGCGCAACGAGACCGGAAGCTGTCTCACTCGCGGTCTGAACCAGACTGCCTTCGACACCGTGTCACAAAAGAATGTCGTAGAGCCATGCATGGCAGTGGCGTCTGACGACTATGCCGAGATGATGAACTGTTTGGGAAACACGCCGCACAGCGGTGGGCACCTTGGTGTGGGCGGTATTGTAAGTCGGGTGTTACAGACAACGGCCAATGTCATAGTTAACCAAGCGCTAGATGAGAGACCACGCCAGATCCCCGGCCGACCCTATCTTCTGGCTACATCACACGAACTTCGACCGCCTGTGGTGGAACTGGCAGGCAGCCAACTTGACGTCCCGTCTGTATGCTATGGGTGGCCCGAATGTGGCCAACGGGCAAATTTTCATTGATGCTCAGCCCACCATCCTCCCTATCGAAGCCTTCGTGCCGTACTTTGGAGACGGTGGCAACGTTACGACACTGGATCACGTCATGTGGATGCCTGGTCTGGCTGAGAACATCACAATAAGAGATGCGATGGATATTAGGAGCGACCTTATGTGTTTTGAGTACGTCTAGATACACGTTCGGAAGTATCGTATGGTGGTACATTCTCAACAGCAATAAGAAGAATTCGAAGGGTTCAAATAGTCTCTGGTTTGTGTTCATTCTTCGTATGATATGAGAGAGGCTAGGTTACCTTACTTGTGTCATCGCTGTCCAATCTAACCCAGGCTTATTTTCACGCAGCCATTGCGCCACCTTCTCTCGCTGCGCGTTACATGAGTATCATGTTCTGCTTTTGAATGGAACTGACTGTCGGAATGGTGCGATTACAATAAGAGTCGTCCTCGGGTCAATATGGTAAGGGTGTAGAGAGCTTCGTGCATTGCTTGCACTCAACGCTTTTCACAACCTGCTTGGGTGTTATAAGAAATCCGGATTCTTATTTTAAGCAGAGCACCTTTTATCTATCCCAGTCTATAAAGTCGAAATAAAACCAAACCCAAGTCTATCAGCAATGAAGCAGTACCAAATCTAGTGTAGTCACGGTGGCCATTGAGGATGCATAGTCAAGGATGCGTCTAGGCAGAGGCCTTTCCCTTTCCCTTGCCCTTGTCCTTGCCCTTACCCTTTCCCTTGTCCTCGGCCTTGGGCTTGAGAGCGCAGTTGTGGGGGTTGCCGCTACCATCGGCCTTCTCCTTGGCGCCGATGCCGCAGAACTGGAGGTTCTTGTTGTAAAAGACACGAATGGGGCCGGGAGAGTTGCCGCCCTTCTTGGCGTTGTAGTTGTAGGCCTTGCCGCCAGGCAGGACGGGGAGCTCCCAGACATCGCTGGAGCAGCCTGAAGCGAAGTTCATGACGTTGCCCAGGTTGCCGAAGGGCTTGGGGTAGCCGCTGGAGCCCTTGGTGGTCTTGGCGGCGGCGACGTCGCGCATGGCGTCGGCGAGCTTGATCTCGCCGTACAAGGCGCCGCTGTTGCTGGAGCCGGCCTTGCAGACGTAGACGTCCTGGAGTGGCGAGGTTAGCAATCTCATGGGTGAGTGATGGGCGAAGGCGCTGGGTTCAACTTACATCGCCGGCACGGATCTCAATGATGCCTTCTCCGTTATCAGAGAAGGAGACCGGGGAGGCAACAGCCACGGAGGCGGCGAGGAAAGTAAGAAGCTGAGTGAAGGAAACCATTTTGATTGTTGGAAGGACTGTTGGTGTCGTTGGAGACGAAAGAGTGTGGTGATATTATCGTTAGAGAGTGTATTGAGTGAAGAAAAGGAGTGTGGTGAAGATGTCTGAGTTGTGAGCGAATGATGAGTTGGATGAGTGCATTGAACGGGTGACTTGGAGGCCTATTTATCTTCTTCTTTGATACCTTCGTGATGCCAAAGTCCGCCAGTACGTCTCGTCATGCCATGCCAAGCCGCATGGCTGAGCTTTCGTCTTGGTTCATGGCCCATGTTCAGTCCATTGCGAAACTATTTTCAGATGGAACTATCCTTGTAAGTCGAAGTGATAGAAGTTCAAGTGCCAGCATAAATCAGCGGGCATTATTCCTGGGCCTTTGCACGAACTGGTGGGCCTGTCGGGCAGAATATTCCACTAGGTTGTGTCACATCGCTATCGTTTTGTTTTCTCACCGTGTTGACCGTACATCTTCAGTGAAACACAGAAGTTATCTGACTTGTATGTGTATTTTGCCCCGAATTTGAGCGATTCCCTACAACAGCAGCGTTTCACGGTTAAGGCAATCTTATGCTATATCTAGTCCCTGCATTTAGACGGTTCGCTGAACGGTGCATAAGCATTTTGATTCCAGGCGTGTCTTGACGGGTAGTGGTGGTCATACGACTGGAGTAAGTGAGCAGACTGGAAAAAGAATTTGTGAAATGCAGCGCAATGGTCCTCAATGATGACATTTCTGTTGGACGCTCATCGGGTGCGCCGTAGTTCTCCACAAACCCACTCAGACTGACCGACGGGCGAATTCTCGCGAACCCCTCTCTCGGGCCGCTCCCATTATTCCAGAACAATGTCGTGATGCCCCTCGCCAATCATGTAAGTGCGTTTCAGAAAGATGGCCCGCCGCGGATCGCGGCAGCACCTCCAGGTGCAAGCTGAGCTCTTAAGGTTTGGCGCCAAGTCTGTCAAAGGTCCCCAGTATCTGAACATTTGAACGATGCCGTGGGCCTGGACAGCGGCTGTGCCATACCCCGGACGTATCTGCCGGTCAGGCCGACGGTTGAGAGCCGAAACCTTAAATTGAGGCTTAGAGGTTGTCGAGCGCTGTTTCTTGGGGGCTGATGAATGATCCGCATCATCCGAAGTCAAATGCCAGAAGACGTGATCCCTACTCATTATTCATATTGACGGCCTGGACCTCCAGGCCTCGTCCGATCTCGCTTTATTTCTCGTCGACTGGCAGTTTCCATGTTATCTCGATGTTTCTGGGCTGGTGCTTTCGAGATGTAAGAATGTCACTGACTCACTCGGCGTATCTTGCTCATCTCGACTAGCGGCCTGAGCCAAGGCCCCCAAATGGAGCCGCCTGGTATTAATAGATCCTGACTTTACTGATCACTTCCTCGGCGACAAATACCTTCTTCAGCACATGCTTCGAATACTCCTGACATCAGGAACTATCATCGCTATTTCTCAATTGTTTTCTGTCAAACAAGCAGCCGAACTTTCCGATTTTTCAACGCCGAGACGTGACAATGTCGCCAGTGAAACTACAGCTGGAAGACCCTGGCGCCCCCGACTACGCTGGTGAGGTCATTGATATCCTCAATCCTGCCATTGCCTCAAACAGTCCCTCATTCCAAAAAGAGGCAGCACTGGCGATTGACGCACTCTGCAAACGAGAATGCACAGCAGCGGGTTCAGCAGGCGGTTTCTTGTGGTGGTTCTGGGATCTGGTTCACGACCTCTCACGCCAGCTTCCCTATGACAGCGAGGAGCAAGATCGATTGGCGGCAGTGATCAGGAGTCTCACTGACCTGCCGCCCAGAAAAGTCTCCTTGGGCGAAGAATGGGGCGGTGGTGATACGAGCACTGTTGAGCTGTGGACCAATCTACCCATGTTTGGCAACACCTTTCGTGAGAAGCTTGATGATGGTACGCGATGCTATCACACAATATTGAATGCTCGTTTGCTGACGGTAATCAACACAAAGACGACTCTGCAGCATCCTCAGAAGACCTCAAGAAGAGTCGACGCGTCAATCTCGATGCTTACGCAGCACGGGTTGCAGGGCTTTGCCAGCTGCCCTTCGAAGTCTACGCCATCTGGGCTTTGGTGGGTGCGTTGGAAGACACAACCGCCAACAATACAGGCCCTGCTCTAGAAAATCAGAGGGAAGGGAAAGCTATAGCCCACAACCTCATGAGTGCTGCGGTATGGATCATTCATGCCGGACACCTCCTTTACGGACGGGATGAGCAGATCTCGGGGGCTACTGCAGGGCCTCTGTGGAAGCAAGGGCACATGCTCAAGGGAACGGATGGGTTGAATCCTGAGCGGTGGCAACTATGGAAAGAGACGTTTGCAGTCTTTAGAGATGCTGACGGTTTAGACACAGAGTCTCGCCGTGTTGCTGGAGAGGCGTACGCCATAATGGAGAAACTCGAGAACGAGTCCCCGTGATAGCTCACAGCCGTATCAAATTGGAGTCTCGATGCATAACAGCACTCAGACCAACTTCACTGCAGGCAGGTGCAGTGACTGGCTTGAAGCTCAGCAAGAGCTAGTCTTAGTGACCAGAAAGACCATCTACGAATCTTTCTGACTGAGACTCACGTATAGTTAGACTCATCAAGACCTTTGATCGCGATTGCCATAAGGAGCGGTATGAAAACGAGAATGGCTGGCTCTGGAGTCGCCGACCATCTGTCACTTCGTTTGAGGTTGCTCGAATTTCGGCCACCTATGCCAAGCTTTGCGAACATCAGCCAGCAGCTTGGGATTGGCTGTAGTTGAATCAAAAAGAAGAAGACTTGAGGGAACTCGAGCACCGACTGCTGCCATTTGGGCATGAGAATTTCCCAGAGACCCGGCCCATTGTTGATGAGACGGCCAAGAATGACAAATGCCTCCAAAAATCGGCAACGTAGAAAAAGCAAAGATTGTGGGGCCTATTACACCTGGCCAATGCGCGGCCAGATTTTGCTTACCTAACACGTGATGTGGAGTCGGTGAAACCTTCTGTCGCGGCCCCTTTATCGCGTTCTCATGGTGAGATTCGACGACGACCATCGCACCGCCTACACTCACAGCCATGGTCAAGTTTAAGCCGGCCCGGGATGCGCTGGTCGGAAACCCCCGCCCTGCATCCCAGCAGGCGAGACAGGCCGCGATGGACTACATTGACGACGAGCGCAATCCCGTCGTGCTCGATGATGGGTGGGCCCCCAAATACTACGTGGTCTACAACCTGCGAGGGCCCGATGCGTACGGTAGGAAGTACGGCATCTTCACGAACTGGAACGATACCAAGGTCCAAACTGAAGGCTGCAAGAACAAAAGTACGTGCAGACTGGCTGTGTGGTCCGTCAGCCCCACCATGCTAACATGTGGGAATCAACCCAGACACTACTGCTTCGACTTTCGACCAGGCTGTAAGTGAATACCTCCATATTCGTGAGCTAGGAGACTTACACACATTAGATGAATCTTCTAGTAGAGGGGCTGGCCCTCGAGATCGACGATGGCTGTTTGTTGAATTATCCCCCGGTACATGCAAGTCAATCCACCGTACCCGCCCCTGCACCTGCGTCGGCGCCTGCCCCGGTCAAGCGGCCGAGGGAGGAGGAGCCCGAGCCTCACCCGGAGACTTCAGCTGCCTTTCTTGTTGACTTGCATCGATCTAAAAAGGTCAAACACGAGGAAAACTACCAATCTGGTACACCTCAGTCACCAATCATAGTCGAGGATGATTCCGATCAGGAGGCAACTGAAGAGGGGCAGAATTTCCATGAGGCCGCAATTAAAGGGGAGGGGGCTTTTGAGGACGAGGAAGAAGCAATGAGGGAAGCTGAGGGATTTATACCTCTCAGTGGCTACTCCAGTCAAACGAACGAGTATATCAAACGCGAAAATGATCGCCGGGGAGGCGGGGAAGACCCGCCAGTCGTAGAGGAGGCCCCAGAGCTTCCCCTCTGTCCTGAACAGCAGCACGCCCTGGATCTCGCCATGCAGGGCCACAATCTCTTCATCACTGGGTAGGTCCATTACTACGGAAAAAGAAATCCAGGGCATGACTGACCCTCTCAGATCCGGCGGCTGCGGCAAATCAGTCCTGGTGAAGGCCCTCAGCAAGGCCTTCGACGCCCAGGAGAAGACCGTCTACCTCGTCGCACCCACGGGCCAGGCCGCCACAAACATCAACGGCAGGACAACATATTCCTACGCTGGATGGAGCACCACCGCCCCGGCGGAGACACTCAGGACCCTCATCCAAGAGGCCCGTCGCAGGAGCGTGTGGGAGCGCATCATGAGTACCGACGTCCTCATCATCGACGAGATCAGCATGGTCGAGAGCGAGTTCTTCAACCGCCTCTCTGACGTCCTCATCGCGCTCCGACGGGAAGCGTTTCTCCGCAGCTACCCCAATGTCGTCGAAACCCAGACCGCGGAATCGGTGGAGCGACCATTCGGCGGCATCCAGGTCATCGCCGTCGGCGACTTTTGCCAGCTGCCCCCGGTGCTACCGTTCAGCTACTGCACTGAGGAGGTGGCGTATGACCAATTTGGCGGTACTTCGACGCCGTGTGGGAAGATGGATTTCGACAAGAAAGGCAACCTGCACTTCTGTCCTCGAAACAGGGAGCATCCCAGCTTTCGGGATAACGAAAAATGGGCTTTCAACTCGCGGACCTGGGAACAGTGCAACTTCCAGTAAGTATCATGATCCGTACAGACAGAGGACGTCGACCTGACATACTCGGCAAATAGATACATCCATCTAACCAAGATCCATCGACAAACCGATGAGCGATTCATCACGATGCTCCAGAACATCCGCCTCGGCCATACAACTGACGCCGATCTTGACGTCCTGCTGCAACCTCGCCAATTCAGGGATGGCATAGCCCTGTTCAGCCATAAGCAGAAAGCCAAGGATCACAACAACCGGGAGCTTAACAAGCTTCCCAGCCGACCAGAAAAATTACTTTCCGTGGACTACCCTAGAGACCTTGGCGACAACAACGACAAGCACCGTTTCGACAAACAATTGACCCTCAAGGCCGGCATGCCGGTTGTGCTGCTGGCTAACGTGAGTTCTCCCCCTTCGCCGCGCCATCGCGTACCTCGTCCCAAGGCAAGCTAGAACAACGCACTAACCAATAGGTGGCAGCTCGACGTCGAGAATGGTCTCTGCAATGGCAGCCAGGGCAAGCTCCTCCGCTTCGTACGGACGCTGCACGAACACAACAAACCCAAAATGCCCGAAGAGAAGAGTTACAAGGGAGACCACTACGCCTTCGAGCTCGCATGCGCTAGATACGACCAAATGACCGACTACATCAATGGCGCATCAGGCGTCGAGGGTTGTGAGTCCTCCCCATGTCCCGAATTCCCCAGAAAGCCGTAACCGCGAACCGCTAATCCTCGTCCCCACAGTCCCCGAAGTCATATTCGCAAACGGCCAGCGACGCGTCATCGTGCCTTACTGCAACATGCACGATATCGAAACAGCGATGGAGCAAACCCCCCACGGGTCGAGGAAGGCCCTGACGGGGTACTCGGCGCGAACGCAAATCCCCCTCGTCCCGGGCTGGGCCATGACCATCCACAAGAGCCAGAGCCTGTCGCTCGACCGCGTCATCGTCAACCTGGAGGACGTCTGGGACGGGAGGCAGACGTACGTGGCCCTGAGCCGCGCGCGGTCGCTCGGCGGTCTCAAGGTCATCGGGAACAAGGCCAAGATGAGGAGGACGCTGCCGCTGGACCCCGAGGTGAGGAAGTTCATGAGGGAGGTGGAGCACCGGGCGGCTACGGTGGCTACGGTAGACGAGGCGAGTGGGTAGTCATCTCTTTGAATTGCGGGTGGTGTGGAATGGGCTCTGAAGTGCTGTGGATGAGAGCGGGTGAAGGAGGGTAAAAAACACCCCTTGGGCCCGTTCCGAGCTGAGTTGGCTATAGGGGGCCAGGGGGGCAGGGGGGGGGGCGTATGAACCACCTGACTGGGCACTGGTCTCCAAGCTCGGTGGTGATTTTTGTTCGTGTAAGGAGTATTTGGCAAATTCTGTAGGATACCAGCTAAAGGACTGAGGCGAGGGCCTCGGCGGCAACGAGTATGCGCTGTCCATTCGGCGGTGTTTGGGGGAGGGGGGGTAGGCAAGGCTCATTAATGCGCACGACCGACCATACATGTGAGACTCTCTACGCATTTGAATACCGTGAATCTTCACCGTAGTTCGTGAACCAGTCTTACATGCAACTTCTGAGTTGTCGGCTTTGATGAATGAAACCAACAGCAGCGTTTGGTCACGTGCCCGGTTTCCGGATATTTAATACCCGGATACGATGGCATTTCCATCCATTCGTTTGACAGCCTATGTCGTCACGGCCATGAACCTCCCTCCCTGCCAGATCCGAACCCCAAAACTCACTGCTGCACAGGGCAATTTTCGATGAACATCCAGACTAATCAGAGAAAACGGGTCCTAACAGCCTGCTTGGCCTGCCGGGCGAAAAGAACCAAGGTAGAGCAAGTGCCATCAGCGCCATATTCTCCATCGCTCTAACCACTAGGCTTTCAGTGCGACGGCAACCCTATACAATGCTCAGCATGCAAGTACCGGGAGTCGGATTGTGAATACGTACACGCCCCGAATAATCGCAAGTAAGTCCTTTCCCCGGCTCGGGCGGACCTGATTTGTTGTCAGGTATAGGAGGAGCTGATTAGGTCGTGTGCAGACCCCCGAAGAAAGAATACGTGGCTGCGCTGCAGGCTCGTGTGAAGAGTCTTGAGGCCGAACTCGCCCGAGTGCGGGGCTCCGGTGAGAGTGGTGACTTGGCCCCCGTTGCTGATACCGAATCCCGGGAAGCCGGCGACGAAGATGAACGGATGTCGCCGGAGTCTACGACCAGCCATGGAACATCTAGGACAATGTCAGTGGCAATGGAAGAAGTGACTGATATCCTCGGGCGCTTTGCCATCGGGGACGGGGGAGAGCTCTGCTACTTTGGCTCCCGGAGCAATTTGAACCTCTTGAGGAGCGCGACGATCCGCTCAACGTCGAACATCGAGATGCAGCGCAGAGGCTACGAGGCGGCCAAGGCCCAAGTGGGACTCGTTGTAGCGTCTCAGGACCTTCAGACGCAGCTTTTGGATTTATTTTGGAAGTGGCAGAACTCTTGGCAGTACATCGTTTGCAAGGCGCCGTTTCTACAGGATCTGAGCAGCCATCCGGGCAGCCCCTTTGGGCGATTTTGTTCGCCTGCCCTGTTTTACACCATCTTGGCACTTGCTTCGAGGTACACCGACGATGTACGTGTCAGAACTGATCCGAACGATCCAAACACCGCGGGAGACGCGTTTGCGGCCCAGGCCCGGGTGATGCTGCACTATGAGTGTGAAGCGCCAAACCCGACCACCGTCCAGGCTTTGGCCTTGACGTGCTTGCGCGAGATGGCCGTCGACAAGGAGGCCCTTGGGTGGATGTACTGCGGCATGTGTGTGCGCATGGCTATGAACTTGGGGATGCACCTAGACTGCTCGTCGTGCCTCTCGGAGGGAACACTCAGTGCCGAAGAGGCTGAGGTGAGGAACGTGACATGGTGGGGATGCTACGTGCTTGACAAGTATTTGCTCCCGTTTATTCCTTAGCGATGTAGCCGTCACTGGCTAACCTGGAAGCAGGCTCTTCAACATTGGTCTGGGGAGGCCGTCCATGGTTCAGGCGCGGGATGTCACAGCTGAACTGCCGAGCACCTGCTGCGTGGAGGAGCTGGAACCATGGCAAGGGGTATCAAGTCTAGTCAATCCCATTTCGATCGCTGCGTCTCACAGTATCACAAATGCTATCTTTACCTGCAAACTCTTCGGCGCCATGGGCGACATTCTTGACGCTATGTAAGCCTCAAACCCCTACCTAGCACACTTTCTGGAGATGTGTGCAACATCAGATACTAAAATATATTCACACGTAGCTACACTCCGTTAGACAACAGAACCAGGACTCAAACCGAAAACGTGGTATCGGAAGGTCATGTCAAACTTCTCAGGTTTTTGGACGATTTGCCGCCCTGTCTCAAGATTTCCAAATCTTCACGTCACCCTTCGCCTCCGCATGTGTATCAACTTCAGTAAGCCAAACTTCATACCATGCCGTGTTTTGTAGTTCGAATTACTAACACGACGCATTCTTCAATATCACGTCATAATGATACTGCTTCATCGCCCCTTCCTCAAATCGACTGATTCTTCCCGGGAGTTCGCCTTGTCCGCAGCAGGCCAATCAGATGTCCACACGGTGGCGTGCCGCAAAGCTGCTCAATGGGTAGCTAGGATCTTTCGGATATACAAGAAAAATTTCTCTCTCGTGAGTATGCGGTCTCTCAGGGAGCTTCCCTTGTCGCTGATGTTGCCAGCGCACAATACCGATATCTGCGGTACATTGCGCCTTCACGGCCGCTGTGATATTCCTGGCAGATGCCACGTCTGGGGACAGTGAGCTTCGACAAGAGTCTCTGAAGGACCTCGAGACTTGTTTCGACAGCTTGCAGAGCATGAGTATTGCATGGGGATGGAGCAAGCGTGCCATATCTGCGTTGCAACAGATCGCTAGACGGTGGGACGTCAAGATAACCAGCACAGAGGGAACTTGTGTTTTGGACGAGACAGCCAGCTGTCCGCCCGATGGGGATGACGAAGACTCCTTTCCCCGTCTTCTTTCGGAAGCGACCGCGCAGCAATCGGCGGACAGTTGGTTAGACCTGGGTCCTTGCTTGAATCACCCTGCAGAGTGACTTGATCGCCATTCCATATGGCTTGAGTATCACGAAGTGGGTAACCCTGCAGACTCAGCATTGCGTACTAGCTTTGTTCCATTAGTTGTAGTATGGCAATGGATGGGTTGCTTTACCTTGCTCTCTGACATGATTGACTCATCTTCTTGTTACTGACTTATGTGTGCGATATGTTCAAGCAGCTGGCTTCGTGTCCGTCCAGCACCTAGTAGTCATGTACCCCACAACCCAAGGCAAGAGGAGACTCCAGACCAATGTATCAGGGAAGAACTAGGAATCCAGTCCCATAGCCAGCCGACATACTTTTACCTCAGATTTTCTGAAGCTTCCCCGCAGTGGGCCCTGCATATGCCATCCCCCGCAAATACTATCCGGGCATGCATTACCCGAGCGGTTATCCGGGTCAGCAGCACCCGGATTGAATCATGCATGATATCTCTTCCTATCGATTGTGCCCGCAAGAAGAAGTGGCATCTCTTCCCTGCGCCCGATGTTCCAATTCCCACATGGGTACTATCAGTACAAGGAACCAAAGTACTCTGATAGGGGAATAGGATGAGACAGTATTACTCGCAAATAGGATATTTGATCAATCATGGTATAATAACTGCAAAGATTTCCGGTAACTTAAAGATCGTCTTCCCCAGCCATTTGGAACACTCGCCTGGAATTCTACAGCCAGCATATGCGAAATCCTCCAGCACATTTTTCTCGTTTGATTGTAGCTCTTTGAAACTACCTTCATCATGTCTATTCGTCAATGGAAAGCCGCCATCTGCCAGTCGGAGCCCTGCTGGTTCGACAAGGACGCCACCATCGAGAAATCGCTTAAGCTCATCAGAGAAGCCCGCAGCAACGGCGCCTCCCTGATCGCATTCTCGGAGGTCTGGGTCCCCGGCTACCCTAACTTTCTCTGGTCGGGAAACTACAAGGAGAACATCCCACTCGTCCAGAAGTACATGCAGAACAGCATCACAGCGTATGGAGACGAGATGTTGCAGATCCGCCAGGCCGCGGCCGAGAACAAAATCTACGTGGCCTTTGGATTCAGCGAGCGTGTAGGTGCTAGCCTGTACCTGGCACAGGTGCTTATCAACTCCGAAGGCAATATCCTGCTTCATCGAAGGAAGACGAAGCCGACCCATGTCGAGCGGACGATTTTCGGTGACTCGACGGGCGACTCGCTGACCACTGTCGTCGACACGCCCCTGGGCAAGATTGGAATGCTGAATTGTTGGGGTAAGTCTTTCACGGGTCTCTTATTCAAATTATCATCACGCTGACCCCATACCCAGAGCATCTGCAGCCTCTTCTCAAGTACCACACCTACTCTCAGGGCGAGCAGGTGCACATTGCCGCATGGCCTTTCAACGGCGAATTCAACGGCGGCATCGAGCCGTGGTCGCTGTTCGGCGAGGCCAACGAACTCACCGCGAGCCGCATGTACGCCCTCGAGGGTGCCGTATACGTCCTCTGTACCAACCAGCCGCTGTCTGCCGAAGGCGCCCGCCTCAACAGCGAGGGCCAGGGCAGCGCTGACATGGAAAGCTTCATGCTGAGCGGTGGCGGAGGCCGGGCCGCCGTCTTTGGCCCGGACGGCCGGCAGCTTACCGAGCCCACGAAGCCCACCTACGACGGCCTCATTTACAGCGACATTGACCTTGACAAGATCGACTACGCCAAGACTCTGACGGACTGCGTGGGTCATTACTCCCGGCCCGACCTCCTCCGTCTCGTGGTGGACGACCAGCCCAAGAACTTCGTCACGAGGGTTTCGTCGGACAAGCCTACCAACTCGCCCTACATTTCAACTACAGGGGACGAAACTCTGCTTTCGACTCACAAGACGCTTCGCGAGATTCTTCAGGCTAGAAACAAATTGGAGGATTCTGACGGGTCCGCTGTCGACTTTTCGCAACCTTAGGTATATCATAAAGCTAGCTTAGGACTTCTGCTTCTCAGATTTATACGAAAGAGGAACCGATGTGAACATCCTGACACCAAACTTGAACAGTATTCCGTTCACATGTCGCCTCAACGGACCACCGCGTGGACAAGTCATAACTCTAATACTCTTATTCGTAACTTCAACCTTAGCCTGCGGAAGTAAGCCTAATTAAGTAAATAGAAGTCATTAAGTAGACCACTTCTTAGCAGTCTCAGTTGTCTTGAGGGCTGGGCCGGAAGCATGGCCGTACAGGAGACTGTTGTTTACAGGGTCCTCAGACGATGCGAGTGGCTTTGTCATGAGCTAGGTGTGGCAGCAAACCAGACCCGATGAGAGACCTACTGGCCGAGAGTCGATGCATGTCAGAATGACTGGGATGGATGCTTGTGAGGCGTCCAAGGTGGGTGGGCTTGGTTCAGAATCAGTTCATCTGACAAGCAACTGTCGCTTGAAAAGTAGTCTCTGCCGATGCGATTTGCACGGAAGAGGTGAGGTCGCCTTTCCCAATATGATCGAAAACTCCGGCATTCAATGTCGCGTAACCAGTCCCGGTGACCAACGATGGCCAGCCACTGGTTGATGGAATGTTCTAATCCTTTTTGCGGCAGGGAGAGAGCAGGAGTCAAAAAGCCGTCAATAGCCACGAGTGGCGCGGCCGTCTCCAAGCATTTGTAAGACTCAAGTAAAGGTACGGAGTTAATAAGGAGCTGATCAGGCTACCAGCTTCTATTGAACGCCAAAGGAGACCTTGCCTGTCCTGCCTATGTATAGCTACAATGGCCCTGTCTCGGGCTCTCAGCCTTGAATTGCCAAGGACGGCTATGCTCCATCCTCCGCGCCACACAACCTCTACAGTCTCGTCCCCCAGCCGCATCAGCTTTTCGGCTTTTCTGAGACAGACTGCTGTCAGTTTAAGTAGCAACAACATATTGGCTTCAGCTTTTGGTACACTGTGCTCAATTTTCCATCATGAAGTAGAACCTCGATATGTACTATAGTAATGCAAGTAGGTGGTTCCAGGCTGGCTTCAACTCCTTGATAATCTGGCTTGCTTGGGGCATCTGTGAAGTCAACCCATCCATACTCCATTTGACTCAGGTTGTCTTGCGCTGGAGGCATAAGGAGCGTCGCTGTTATGTGCATTGCATACATGATCTAATTACGGACTTCCCTTGTGAGACACGTCGTATTTCTGACCTCTCATAACCCGTCAACCCGTCGCTGCCGCTTCACTTCACACGCTATCATGTCAGATGGAATCTTACATGACTTACTACAGCAAAGCACTTGATTTTGATCGAAGTTTCCAGCCCGCGTGCTGCGCATTTATAGGCTTGCCTGCTACCCAAGGCCCGCTTTGCCCCCGCGGCACTTCCTGCTACGATAATCCTTCATAAATCGTGGCCAGGCATTTAAAACCATGTGTTCAACGGCATATCAGTCGGTTAACAATGTTGACATCGAACGCCCTCCAGATTTTGACTATGAGGCAATGGCCCGACAGCTACATTCCGACGGAAGACGCGACAACAATTTTGATTCTGAGTGCGGGCTGGTCGATGGCGGTGGTGCATTATCCTCAGAACCTGAGGGTGAAAAGCATGCCAGCTATGTTGAACTCGGCCCTGGCTTCGTCAGTCAAGAATCATGGGTCATCAAGCTGTTGTCGTGGACATGGGAAATTATCCTCACCGTCTTGCCACTATTCTTCATCTGTACGTTCTATTCATCGACCCCAATCTTCGCCCGGGCTTTCGGCTAAAACTGTGAACAGGTGTTTCCATCCTTGCCCTCAAACTTAATGAACAAGTAAAATCAACCTCAACCTACGGCGGCAAGCTTCAAGAGATCATGCGTCTCGGCCCAACAATATACCCAATCCTATTTGCCATGGTTGCAAGCCGGTTCTACAAGAACGTAGCTCGCTGGCGTCTCGAACGACCATACGGTATCACGGTCTCCTCGCTGGAGCAAATCATCGGTAGCCAAAGTTTCGCAAGCGCTTTAGAACGATTTATCATCATCCGCGCGCGGCTCTTGCTGGGAGCTCTGATCTTATGGAGTTGGGCAATGTCTCCTCTTGGGGGCCAAAGCTCGTCGAGACTACTCCGTGTTAATGGAATGAAGTACAGATTCGATAAAGATGTGTATTACGATAACAGGGTCTATCAGGACTCGATATACTACGACATGGACACATACAGGCACAAATACAAAGACATTATCACGACCATCTACTCTGCCAGTCTCCTCTTACCAAAACAACAGCAAAGGTCGTCTATGGATTTGTTAGGACGACCAAAGATTCCACAGTGGCCTTGGGAAATGGAACAAGAGGCTGACGAGTCCTGGCGCAAGGTCGATCAGCATGCTCTTCAGGCCGAGAACGATTACTATACGTCCCTGATAGGAGTCAATATACAAGGCCTGAACCTAAATAACAACTCAACGCAATACGAAATCGACGTGGACTCTGGCTACATTCATTTCAATTGTTCTAAAATTGCAAGAACAGAGTCGAGAGAAGACATGGAAAGGATTTCATTTCCACCTCACAAACAATTTTACCCTGCGGTCGAAAATCTTTGGAAACTTTACGAGAAAGCTATGGACGGCAAAGATAGGGCACAAAGCTTCATGTCTATTCCAGTACACCCTACGCCCATATCCACAAGCGGATACTTGCTCTATGCCAGCCGTGGAAACCTGACAAATCGAGAAGTCCTTACCGTGTTCAACTGCACTACTACTGCTATCAACCTCCGAACCAATTTGATGTGCACGGCTCAGGGTTGCCAGCCCCAACGACAGCATCGAATACCAACTGCTTCACCTACGAACTCAGCGTATTTCCATAGGCGACAAGGATCCCTCCACCAGGTCTTCGAAGAATGGCCCAACATGACAGGAGCAACGGGAAAAACGTCAGCAACTGAGAATTACATTGCCAACGACGAAGCTGTATACGGTGATCAACAAACGCAGAATTGGACGGGAATTGACACCGAAATGTTTTCAAGGAGGCTTACGACGGCTTTCAATACAGTTTGGG